CACCGATGCTGTGCCCTGGGCTCCGGCTTGGGACAGGCTCACCGATGCTGTGCCCTGGGCTCCGGCTTGGGACAGGCTCACCGATGCTGTGCCCTGGGCTCCGGCTTGGGACAGGCTCACCGATGCTGTGCCCTGGGCTCCGGCTTGGGACAGGCTCACCGACGCTGTGCTGGCTCAGGGCAGGCTCACCGATGCTGTGCTCTGGGCTCTGGCTCCGGGGGAGGCTTTCAGAGCAGAGACATGCCTCTTCAAACAGGGCAGGCATGCGACTGGGGGAAGGCTGATGATAGCTGATGCCACTGCTGGCCTCAGCCTCCCTTGGCATCTCCCCTGAGTCTGGATGCCTCCTTGCCTGGCAGTCTCTGGGCTGACAGATGCCTCCAGCTCATGGGCTCAGTGCCCATGACCCTACTGGGCACTGTCCCTGTATCCTTTCCCTTCTTAGGATCATTCATCAGGTGTTGGCAGCCCTGGCTGAAGAAACATCCCAAACCCTTCGCTCCTGCTTGCTGCTCAGCAGGCAGATGTCAGGCTCCTGCACAGCATGCCCAGGTGCATACGGGGACAAGATGGCCAGCTCACCTGGGCCTACAGAGGATGCTGAGTGCCAGTCAGAAGATGGAGAGCAGCAGAGGCAGGACAACTCTCCTGGCAGAAGTGTCTGGGTGAGTGGATGTACTGTAGCGGGCTCTGTCAGCCAACGGACTCAGAACTATCAAAACCACACAAGCAATACCTTCAGGACATTCTTCTCTATTTCAGGGTTTCTAAGGTGACATCAAGTGGACACCCCTATCTCCAGGTACTGATGTAGTCTGGCAGATGGGAAGATGGGAGCATCCTTCCTCTCGTCCCACCCCCATCAGATGCAGGAGAAAAGGGAAGGAAAATTGGAAGCATTTGGCCCACGCATGCTCCCCCACACCTCCCCACCCTAATCAGTTGTTATCCTGGGCGTGCATCCCTGTCAACTATGTAAACATCGAGAGAGAGAGAGAGAGAGAGAGAGAGAGACAGCTTCCCCAGGCACAGGCTCGTCTCTTCTACCAGGTGCGAGGCCCTGTGCTTCTGCCAGTCAGGAAGCAGCCCACACACCACCGTGGGAACCCCCTCTCCTGGGCAGGCAGGACCCTCACAGCCCCTCCCAGGTGGGTCTGCGGCCACAGTCACAATCCCCCCACACCCACCCTGGGAAAGCCCGGGCAAGTCTCCTGACAGCTGGTCTGGGCTTACCCTGTTGCCGTGTGACTTTCCCAGCTCAGTTCAGAGGGAGGGCTGTCCCAATTTGAAGAAGGGCAAATCACAAATGTCAACCGGCTGAGACCCAAGTGCGGTGCCTGCCAGAGGCGCTGCTTTTACACGGGCACGCACAGTCTGGAGCCTGTAATGAGCGGCAGGCAGTCGATTAGCAGCAGAGTGGGGCTGGGGCTTGAAGGAAGGCAGCTGTCATCCACCTCCCTTCAAGCTGGCTTCAAGGGTGAAATCCACTCTGTGGGGTGCCCGTGTGTGTGTGCGCACGCACATATATTAGAACAGGAAGGGCAGTCCCAGCGGTGGCTACCACAGCAGCAGACAGGCAAGCTTCTGACACCAGACAGAAGGAACAGCAACCTGAGCCTTGAACTCCGTCCTCCCAACCCTGGGAACAAGTCTGAGATGAACGAATCACAGAACCAGGAGCCTCCTCAACCAGTTCCTCTCCTACGTGACACCTCACTTGAATAAGGATCGTCCTTTCGTCCTTTCGCTGTATACCTTCAGCCACAGGGTGCCGGAGTCCAGCTCCAGCTGAGTTCGGGACTCGCGAAGGGTGCGTGGATGAGGCGCAAAGAGAGTAGAGAGAGACTGACCACTACAATTCCAAGATCATTGTGGACAATGCGAGAAAGCTGTCCGCTTTATTTATACAGAACTGGTCAAAAAATCTGGCTCAGGCTTTTTACGTCATGGTCAAGTGGGTGTTTCTGAGGATAATTCTGTAGTCTGTTTCACCTAAGGCAGGATGTTATCCATCCTGGCGCCGTGGTTAGGAAGTTCTCAATAGAAGGTGTATATCAATCAGTAACGCATTCCTACTACAATCCTCATTCTACAGCTTAGTCTTGAATCAGCTAAGGGAGGAAATGTGTCACAGAAGGCAGGACCTAAAGATCAAACAAGGAGGGAAAGAATAGATTCCCAGTACACCTGGGGACAGAACACCCTTGATTAGCATATGGTCAGCTGGGGAGTGAGCACCCTTGATCAGCATATTGTCAATGGGGGCAGCCATGACAGCAATAATGAAAAGCTTTTTTGCTAAAAACGGTATCAGCAACATCAGCTTCCAATCTCACATTGATATTAAACATTAACTCCGCAGAGGCAGACAATGCCCAAATAGATTACAGAAATCTCAGTGGGGTTGTCCGGTGTCCATGCAAAGGCAGGCAGAGCTGCATTCAGGCGGCCGTAGAGACATCCGCCGGGCCCTGCCAAACAGCGGGAAGTTCCTTGCAGCCCTGCCTGCAATGGAAAAATACTCCTCACACCTTCCTGTCTTCCACACCCATCACACGGACCCCAGCAACGGGGAACTCACCACCTGCTGGGACTTCTGAACATCCTACCTCCAGACTCCTCTGCCGTCTCCCTGATGACCAAGGACGTTAAACATGAGGCCTTTAGCGCCAATCCACTCATTCTCTTCCTGCCCGTTGATGTCACATCCTCTCTCCTTAGTTAGCTCTCTGCTAAGTCTGTTTTGCCTCCTGCCGCGGCTTTGTGTATCAGCCGGCAGACTCACCTCCACGCCTTCCACCCAGATCACAGTGACATTCAGGGACGAGGGGGTTCATTCCTCACTGGCTCAGCCAAGCTCTGGGTTTAACATGGGAGAGGTGTATAGAGTAACACCTGACCCCCAGAAGAGGCTCGCACCGGGTGGGACTCCCACTGCTCTGAGCGGGGTAAGTGGCAAGGGGGTAGGATGGCATGGCAGGGAGGAAGATCAAGGGGCGACTAGTTCACTGAGACTGAGAAGCCAGAGTGGTGCCCCACAGGCCCATGGTTCCTGTTGACAGGTTTCTGAACACTCTGCAGGCAGCAGTGCCAAGGGCAGCCTCCAGGGCCCAACCCAAACCTCCACAGAAAGAGAGATGACCTTACAGCCAACCACGAAAAGAGCCCAGCCAAATTCCCCAGCCTCGGGGCCCACAGGTGAGGAAGGCTGAATCTCCACTTCTCTCACTGCGGAGCCCAATATGTTCTACTCAGAGAAATAAAGGCATGTGGTGTGTGCTCAGACTGATAAAACTCACAGCCAGTGAGAGCTCCCACACCAGGGATCTCCCCTTCCCAGCATCAAGCTGCTGATTCGGGGGTCCCAAGGACCTTGCTTGATATTCACTCATGCTCTCTTCCCTCTGACCTATCAAAGCAGGCTCCTGATTTATAAGCATCTTGGTTGCCAGACGTGTGATAAGCTCTTCCTCCTCCAAGATTCAGGTGCTGCTGTGTTCCGGCCAATAATCACAGGTGCCGAATCCAGCTGGGCAGAGGGCAGGGCTGGCACGGGTCACTGAAGGCCCCTTGCCACTGTCGCTGTCTCCCACAGCTCACTCAGCCACCTAACTGCCCTGTGTGTGAGGACAGATTGTCGAATGCCTCATTGAAACCTGAACGCGCTCCACATATCACATGCTCTCCATTAGCACAGTGAGCCCATCAAGAAAAAAAAAAAAATGGGCACAGGCAACGACAGGAGATGGGGCTAAGCTGGCCTGCCTGCTCTTGGCAAACCTGAGTGGTTCCCAATGCTTTTTCTGAAAGGCCGTCAGAGGGACTGACGTGACACAGCAGGTGGCTACAGCCTGCCATGCCAGCACCTCATGCAGGAGCACTGGTCCAGCCGGAAGCCCTGCTTCCCACCCAGCTCCCTAATGCACCTGGGAAAGCAGCTGAAGATGGGCCAGGTGCTTGGGCCCTGACAATCATGTGACAAGACCAGGATGAAGTTCTAGCTCCTGGGAGGTCACTTGGGGAGTGAACCAGTGGATGGGAGAAGGAAACTTAAAGAAAAAATAAAAGCCCATTAAATCTGGTCAAACTCTGCCCAAACTCATCACAAGAATTAGCTGTCCCCCACCACCCCAATTGTGCCAGGGTCCTACACTGAGCCAATTGACAGGCATGAGTCAAAGCTCACAATCCAACAAGAGAAACAGGACAATAAAGAACTGGGATCCAGACCAATGATGGACAGCTTAGCCACATTTTTTTTTTTATTCATAAGTCTAAAGAGAACCTTCATGAAATCAGAAAACATAATACAAATTATGATGATTTGTCTACAAAACCTGGAACCCAATTTGGCGTTCTGGGAACATCTAATATATAAAAACAGTTACAATCTGCCCCTGTGCGTGCTGGCGAGAGCGGCCAGGTCTGTGGATGCCCAAGTCCTGGGTCTTCTCGTGTGGCGAGGCCACATGAGCACAGCGCTCAGAGCAGGACCCGGTGAGCACCATGCGGTGCCAGGAAGCAGGGAAGGCTCTTCTGCCGCAGGAGCTGGGCTCTGGCAGACTGCAGCACAGCTTCTGTGACTTCCAACCACGCTTTGCTAAGGATGCTGCAGCTCAAGGAGCTACACCTGAGGGAGCTACATCTCAGCTTTTGCAGACTGGATGGCTAGAAGCACATCAAGGTCTGGTACAATGGCTCAAGAGCTAAACTCTCGCCTTGCGTCCGCTGGGATCCCATGAGGGCACTGGTTCGCGTCTTGGCAGCTCCACTTCCCATCCAGCTCCCTGCTTGTGGCCTGGGAAGGCAGTAGAGGACGGCCCAAAGCCTTGGGAGACTGCACCCACGTGGGAGACCTACATAAAGCTTCTGGCTTCAGTTCAGCCTCAGCCATTGCAGCCTCCTAGGAAATGGACCAGCAAATGGGAGATCTTTTTCTCTGTCTCTTCTTGTCTGTGTAAATCTGATCTGACTTTCCAATAAAAATAAATACATCTTAAAGAACAAAAGCAGCAGCACATTAGAAAAGCTCCACGATGATGGCTCCGACCCATTCTGGGCTTGACCAGAGCCGCTAACCTGTGTGAGCAGAGAGAACACTTCGCAGGCAGGGCAGCGGAAGGCAGCTACCACCTGCCTGGGACACCCGTGCCGGGCGTGACCCTTGGAAAGCCCTCAGCTACTTCTGCATGAGGCAATGGCAGCTGAGGAAGACGGGGTTGGTAGGGGGTGGTCAGGACTTCACATGTCTTCAGCCCCTTTTTGGCAGGGCCCCGTGCTCAGGCAACCTGTGGCCCAGGGCTACACTGCGTCCCTGCCTGTCACATGGCTCCATGAAGAGCAGCAGTCGACCCCAACCTGCCTGCTCACCCTGGGCAGCCTGGCTCTACGGACAGAAAACCCAAGTGGTAACCCGGGCCCAGGGAGCAGCAGGGAAGGGGCGGGCCTTGGTGCAGTGTTTCACATCTGGGGCTCCTGACAGGTACTGAGAACGCTGCTGGTCCTTGCAGCTAGCCTGCAGTACTGCTACCTAGAAGTGCAGTGACCTCTGGGGCTGCCTCCCAGGTGGGCGTCTTCCCCCCGTCCTCACCAGAGTGTCATGCTGCAGGGCGATCAGTCACAGCTCCTCCACCCTGACGGCAGATGCAAGAAAGGAGAGATGAAGGACAAACAGGGAGCGGGGACAGGGATGACGACACGCAGGGGGTGATCACAGCTGAGGCAAAAGAGCTGGGAGCCCCAGAGGCCGCCATGAGGGCCTGTGCCAATCACGACCACGGCCGGGAGCCCCAGAGGCCGCCATGAGGGCCTGTGCCAATCACGACCATGGCCCGGAGCCCCAGAGGCCGCCATGAGGGCCTGTGCCAATCACGACCACGGCTGGGAGCCCCAGAGGCCGCCATGAGGGCCTGTGCCAATCACGACCACGGCCGCGAGACCGGGTGGAGTGACGGAGACCTCAGGACAGCAGTGCCTTTGCAGAGTCTTGGGGTGCACGGTCTGGAGCAAAGGGGAACTCCAAGGGCTTTACTGTAAAGCGACATGACAGCACCCTCTAGTGGGTATGATAAATAAAACAAGCAGTGTTGAGTACACCCTCTTCTGATACCAAGGTGGCTTCAAGACTGCCTAAGAAAATGGAAACACAAAAGCAGACAAAAGCCCAGCGCATTGTTTAACAACTTAGTAACAGTTTAAAAACGTTTTCACTGCCAAATCATACTCCTCTTGTGATCACTGGACTTGAGTATTAAGGAAGGTGAATGTGCCGTGGGGGGGTGAGCTGCTGGTCCCTTCAGAGCTTGGGCAGACTGCCCGCTGGTGCCAGGATGATCCCAAAGACGTAGAAGAGCCCCAGCAGGAGGTTGAGCTTGGCTGTCCGCTGGGGCAGCTTGTTGAAGGCCTGGCTGCGGAACTGCCTCTCGAGGGAAAAGGCCAGCGGAATGGTGAGCAGGGGCAGTGCCAGGCTGATGCTGCAGCGCGTGGCCAGCAGGCTGAAGACCAGGTAAGGCAGGAAGAGCAGCGCCGTGTAGAGCACGTAGGAGAGGGTGGGGCCGATGAGGATGGCCAGCGTGACGATGCCGGCAGCCCGGTCGGACTCCATGTCCCTGGTGTTGTTGGAATGGAGGATGGCCTCGGTGCTGAGGGCCAAGGGGATGGCATAGACCAGTGGGAAGATGGCCAAGGACCCCACCTGGACAGCGTAGGCGAACATCACGGCCAGCGGGCCGAAGGTGATGAGGATGATGAGGTCTCCCAGAGCCACGTACTTGAATCCAATTCCTACGGCCAGAAAACCCAGAGAGTGGGCATGAGATCAGGGGCCGGGGACGGAGGCAGTGCGATCAGCCAAGATGCTGGCCACCTAACGTCGGGCACAGTGAGTCAGGGAGGGTGGGTGTTGCTGTGGCTCCCTCCGCCCCAGAGCAAGATCTGGTGTTGTCTTCCACGCACAGCTGTAGAGCACCCAAGGAGGTGCTGGGTTTGCCTGTTCAGGTTCAAGTGCAAGTCTGCCCTCATACACACACCAGGTTGCCAGGTACCATTCACCCTTCACCAGCTCCCAGCAAGACCACACTGGAGCGCTTGCCCAGGGTCTCTGTTCCCTAAATACATGCAGGCATATTCCAGTTTTTAAAACCTGCAGAGAATCACAACGAAACTGCAGGAGCCCCAGTAGTACGCATAAAGAAACCTCGGCCATTGGGCCCAGCGCGGTGGCACAGTGGTTAAGGTCCTCGCCTTGTACGCCCAGGATCCCATATGGGCGCCGGTTCTATCCCAGCAGCCCCGTTTCCCTTCCAGCTCCCTGCCTGTGGCCTGGGAAAGCAGTCAAGGATGGCCCAAGGCTTTGGGACCCTGCACCCACGTGGGAGACCCGGAAGAGGCTCCTGGCTTCAGATCGGCATAGCATCGACCGTTGAGCTCACTTGGGGAGTGAATCATCGGATGGAAGATCTTCCTCTCTGTCTCTCCTCTCTGTATATCCGCCTTTCCAATAAAAAAATAATAAAAATAAATCTTTAAAAAAAAAAGAAACCTCGGCCCACACGAGTGAAACAAGGAGACAATGAAAATGGTAGTCCCACCACGCCTGCTCCTGCTCCTGTCTGCTGGTGACGAAAGGCCCGTCTACCCCGCTTCTCCTGAACCTGCTTGTTCTCTCCCTCCCCAGTACCACATCTCATCCACCCCTCTTCCCTCCCCAGTCGGGCCTGGGTTATCACAACAGCATTCTAGCAACTTCCAGTCTTTTCACAGCCTCCCCTGCCCTTGTAGTCAGAGTGATACTGGGCCAGCACCATGGTACCATAGGCTAAGCTTCTGCCTGTGGTGTTGGCATCCCATGTGGGTGCTGGTTCGAGTCCCAGCTGCTGCACTCCCGATCCAGCTCCCTGCTAATGGCCTGGGAAAGCAGCAACAGACGAGCCAAGCCTTCTGAACCCTGCATCCATGTGGGGAGTGAATCACCAGAAGGAAAGTATTTCTCTCTCTCTTTCTCTGTATCTGACTTTCTTTAAGTAAATCTTTAGAGGAAAAAAAAGTCCCCGCTCTCCAACCTGGCCACATTGGGCCCCATTTCTCTGTGCCTCATCCTGAGCTCCTTTGCTGTCTCCAGTCACATCTCTCAGTTCCTGGGAGACCTTCACCTGTCAGTTCCTGGGGGACCCCCTTCCACCTGTCCGACTCCCTCTTCAAGCCCATTCAGAGAGCTTTCCTCTGAGGCACACTGCATCTCACTTCCGATGACACCTGTCTTTCCTGGGAAGCTCCGTGAGGGTGCAGCCTGCTGTCTGGTCCCCAAGCCTAGGACACAGCGGCACTGAACACACCGCGCCAGTAACAAGCCCCTTGGAGCGGGTCAGGAAACCCCCCACTCGGAGCCTGGAAGAGCAGTCTGAAAGAGTTGAAGATGGTCCCTAAGGGAGGGGGAACACATGCCTGGGGAACCTCCGGATCTCACCAAGCCACACACACGCTGCAGCCTCAGGATCAGGACACCCCGCTCCTGTTTTGCTGCCTGCTAATGCATCTGGGAGGCGGCAGAGGACAGCCCAAGTGCCTGGGAGACCCGGGGGAGTTCTCCGCTTCCGGTCATGGGGGACATCTGGGAAGTGAACTAGTAGGTGAAAGATCTCTCTATCACTCTGCCTTCCAAGAAGAGTAAAATATGCCAGGCATTCGAGTTTATACTGAAATAAATAAATACGCAAATATAAGTAAAGGTATGGTTCACACTGAATGGTTCCATGGATACAATGTTCTAGATGAGAACCTTGTATGTGAAAGAAATCAGGGCAGTGGCTGCCTGGAGAGCAGGACAGTGAGAACGAGATGGGTAGGGAAGCACTGGGGGGTGATACAGGCGCAACATCTGGTGCCGGAAGGAAGCCTGGTGAGGGAGCTGGAGCATTCCCCTGCTGGGCTGTAGCTCCTTTTGGTGAGCACTAGAGCCAGGGCTGGGGGTGCGCCAGGCTAATCAAGGTGGCAGTACCCGCTGGTATGCATGTGGGCCGGGTTGGGGAGCTGAACTAAGCTGAAAGACCCATGTGTGTACAGGAGAGCAAGATGGCATACGGCATGCACTGGCCTAGACCATAATACATGCTAGCTGGCACATGTAAAAACGCAGCTCTCACTGGGGGGAGAGCCTGGTGTGAGTTGTTGGGGGGTCACCCCAACTAGGCTGTGGCACCTGCTAGTGTGGGCAAGACCAGGCCTGCAGCAGGCTGGGCTGGGCTGAGCTAGCGGGGCTGGGGGCAGAACTGACCAGGAAGCCGCATCTACCAGTATGTGTAATTGCACTGGCTGGTACAGGTAATGACCAAACCTAACCCTAAACTAGGTGGCACACACAAGAGTCAAGTCTGAGGTCATCCCAGGCAAGGTTTCTTGGGGGACTCTCAGAAACTAGATGACCGGACTCAAACCCCAGCCACAAGGAGAATCGCAAGATATGAGGTCTGACCTGGGAGTGCATGTATCGGGACCGGGCCTTCTCTGTGCTGAAGCCTGAAGCTCTGTGCTGGACAGCATGCCTGGATGCATATGGGGGGTATGGCAGCCAGCTCATCCAGGCCAGAAGAGGATGCTGAATGCCTCACTGGGGGATGGAAAGCACAGCAGCGCGAGTATCTGGGTCAGTGTACACACACTGAGGTGAACGTGGTCAGCCATTCGACCTTGAAAAGATGTTCTCAACCCTGATGCGAAAAAGCTGATGTCTCAGAATATCAAACCACTCAAGTAACTCCCTCAGAATATTCTTCCCCATGTCAGGGTTCTAAGGCATCATCAAGTGACTGTCCTCCATCCCTGGGTGCAGATGAAGTTTGACAGCAAGGAACAGGCCAGCACACCATTAGAATAAAAAGAACAGAACGGAAACATGTATCCTATCCACCTTCTTCCACACCTTGACCTTCCCCACCCTGATGGGAGGCTAACATGAGCACGCAGCTTTCTCAACTATGCAAACAATATGAAAAATTAAAAAAAAATTATGTCATTACTCTGCTCAACATCAGTTCACTCAATGATTTTTTTTTAAAAGATTCATTTATATTTTTGGACCCGGCATGGTAGCCTAGTAGCTAAATCCTCGCCTTGCATGTGCTGGGATCCCAAATGGGCGCTGGTTCATGTCCTGGCTGCTCCGCTTCCCATCCAGCTCCCTGTTTGTGGCCTGGGAAAGCAGTCGAGGATGGCCCAAAGACCCTGTGCTCACGTGGGAGACTTGGAGGGAGCTGGCTTCTGCTTTGCTGCAGCTGCTGCATCCACTTGGGGGTGAACCAGAGGACAGGGCTAGCTCTCTGATTTGTTTTTGTATTAGAAAGGCAGATTTAAACAGAGAAGGAGAGACACACAGAGAGATCTTTCATCTGCTGGTTCACTGGGCAAATGGCGGTAAGGGTGGGAACTCGGTCAGTCTGAAGCCAGGAACCAGGAGTTTCTTTCAGGTCTCCCACATGGGTGCAGAGGCCCAAGGAGTTGAGGCATCTTCTGCTGCATTCCTAAGTCATTAGCAGGGAGCTGGATTGGACGTGGAGCTGCCAGGATTACAACTGGCACCCATATGGGATCCCGGTGTGTGTAAGGTCAGGACTATCCACTAGGCTACAGTGCTGGGCCCCCTTGATGGCTTCACACCAGGCACTGGGCCAGGCGTTGCTCAGAGCTCTTGGAGTTCTGCCAATGACAGAAACCAAAAGTGCAGGGAGCTTGCTGTCTAAGCGGGGAGACGACTGAACCGTTGGCAGGACGTGGGGAGAAGTTCTGAGGCCCCACATGTATTTAAAAGGAAGAGTCAATAGGATTTGCTAACAAATAGGGTGCGAAATAAGGAAGGAAGAGTCCAGGACAACGGCCGTGACTCTTGGCCTAAAGAGCTAGAAGGACGAGGTGGCCACTGGGTGAAGTGGGCAGGGCCGCAGCGGGGACGTTTTCCCTGGAGGGATGATTACGAGTCTGATTTTAGCTATGCTGGGCTAGGGGTGTCCAAAGTTCCTGATAAGGGCAAAACCAGGGTGCCAGTGTGGTGGGAAAGCACTGTTTTCACTTTATCTCTCCTCTCGGCAGCATCTGCTGAGTCCCACAAGGGCAGGGACCTGTGCCTGTGACGTTCACTGAGAGTGGTCCCTGACACACGATCCAGGCTCAGTCTATAACCACTGGCCCACCACTACCTTCGGCAGATTGCTGCAAGAATTTCCCCGTTAGTGCCCTTGTGGTGGCATTGCAGGTAAATCTGTTGCCTAGGACACAGACACATCCCATAGGGGTGCAAGTTGATGTCCAGGCCACTCCACTTTCCATCCAGCTCTCTGCTCATGGCCTGGGAAAAGCAGTGAAAGATGGCCCGAGTGAGGGGACCCTGTCCCCGCCCCACCCCACAGGAAACCTGCATGAAACTCTTGGCTTGGGCCTGAACCAGGCCTGGCCGTTGTCGCTATCTGGGGATTGAACCAGCAGATGGAAGATGGAATGACAGAGACCAGTCTGCAATCAGCGTGGATCTGTGACATCCCTTGCTGGGTGGAAGACCTCCTGTTCCTGGAGTTTCTCAAATTCCTTCCAGAACATCAGAACAGCCCCCTTGGTGTAGGGTGGAGCAGATGCCCCTAAAACTATGCTGTCTCCCCCCGAGGGACTCACCCAACCAGGTTCCAGAACAGGTCACTGCTGGTCTGCCTCCCCCCATGGCTGGCTTCCTCGTTCCCACACACCAGCCATCTTCACTCCCACAACGACGTCCCAAGCCACTGGGACCCAGCTCTTACCTCCCGTGTAGAGAAAGGAACCCGACAGGCCTCCAAAGTAGATGAGAGCCAGGTGCTCCAGCCTCAGGGGGGACAGGCAGTAGAGGCCAGCGGCACAGACGCAGCCCAGCGTGTAGAGGCAGACGCCGAACCGGACCACATCCTGGGGCTCCAAGATGCGGTCCACCAGGGTCCTGTCATCGCTCTTCTTGTGATCGATGCCCTTGGAGAAGTCATAGTAAGTGTTCACCAAGTTGCCGGCCCCGTGCACGGCTAGGACGGCCACCGCACAGCCCACCAGGAGCCTGGGGTCCAGGGAGCCTTGCGAGCGGTAAGCCAGGGCACTGCCCAGGGCCACCGGGGTGAGCGAGGCGCTGAAACTCCAGGGCCTCAGGGCCAGCACGTAGGACGCGCACTTGTGCCTCCAGGAGCGCGGGGCAGCGCCGTCCGGCTCGGCACAGTCCTGGCCCAGTGGGGCCGCGGATGTCTCTCCCGCCTGGATGCTTATCTTGTCCCCGACGATCGGCAGGGCCGCCATGGAAGTCCCACGAGGTGGGGCGGCCGGCCTGACCTTCCTTCGGATCCACACCCCTCTGCAACCCCCCGGAGCAGGGATCTGAGTTCTGCGGGCAGTAACCGACGTGCTTTGCACCTCTCGAGGGCCGCTCGGACCCCTTAGATAACCCTGTGTCCGTCTCGGGCTCCCGTGCTAGCGCCCAAGTCGAGCCGCGGCCACCTCCTCCTCCTCCTGCGGGCCGCGGGGGCCGCCATGTTGTGCGCTAACCTCCGGAGGTCCGCACGGAAACAGCAGCCGGTGGCGTGGGAAGGGCCGGAGGGCGGGACTGGGAACGGGGGTCGGGGCGGATTCGGAGGAGCACCCGAGCCCGGCTCCGAAGCTGGCGGCAGCCTCGCTGGAAAACCTCACTTCGTGTCGTCAGAACGACTCCGATACCTGTTGCTTTATGACTAACTGGAGACTTTAACTTACTCGAATTAGTTTAATCAGTCTACTCAAGCGAGAGCGTTTAGCGAGCGCCTACGGTGTACAGACACCCCTGGAGGGGTTTTTTTGGGGGTCTATGGTGTGTGCATGGTTAAAGTGCTTCTCCTGTGTCTCCATAAACCCATCCTAAGTTGAAATGACCAGGCAAAAATGCATTTATGTTGCGGTTCTGTCATTAAACTGACACCTGGGACTCCCACGTCCCATGTCAGTCGCTTGTAGGACTCGACTTTCTGTCCAGTTTCCTACCAATATGCTTCCTGGGAAGTGGCACTTAGGTTGTAAATCTCTGCCTTCCACATGGGAGACCAGGATGAAGCTCTGGCATCTGGCTGTTATTGGTATTTGGGAGTTAACCAGTGGATGGAAGAGACTTCTCTGTTTCTCTGCCTTTTTTCACATGTAAAAACCAATAAACTTATTTTTTGTCTTTAAGATAGACTTTGTTTGAGAGGCAGATCTTTGTTCGAGTGGCAGATCTTCTGTCTGCTGGTATACTCCCTGGGACCAGGTGGGTCGTTAGCCAGAAACTCCATCTGGGTCTCCTGGGTGAGCGGCATCCTCTTGCCTTCCCAGGCACATCAGCAGGAAACTGGATCAGATGCAGAGCATTCAGGACTCTGATATGAGATGCTGGTGTCGCAGGCAGCAGCTCTGCTAGCACCACAAAATCGGGTACTTTAAATGATGCAGTATCTTCCTCTCTGTCTCTGCTCCTCTCTGTCATCTGACTTTGCAATAAAAAAAAAGGGGGGGGGGTGACCGAGCTTGGTGGCCTAGCAGCTGAAGTCCTTGCCTTGAATATGCCAGGATCCCATTTGGGCTCCGGTTCTAATCCTGGCAGCCCCACTTCCCATCCAGCTCCCTGCCTGTGGCCTGGAAAGGCAATGGAGGACGGCCCAAAGCCTTGGGATCCTGCACCCACGTGGGAGACCTGGAAGAAGCTCCTGGCTCCTGGCTTTGGATTGGGTCAGCACTGGCTGTTGCAGCCACTTGGGCAGTGAACCAGCAAACAGAGGCTCTTTGTATCTCCTTCTCTCTGTAAAATTGCCTTTCCAATAAAAAATAAATCTTTAAAAAATAAAAAGAAAGAAATGTAGCTGAGTGATGATTTCACTAGAGTCCAAACCTAGAGTCATGACCACACATTAACAAAACAGCTGCCCAAGCATTTGTCAGCCACCGAATGTATGCACACATCTCTTACTACGGCCGTTTCACTTTAAAAAATGCTTATTTTTATTACACACTCCCTGGTGATCACAGAGACAGGCAGAAATCCCCTCAAATCCCATTATACCTGAGTTGCGTCTTTCACCCAGGGAAACACACATAATATGTATAAAACATCTAAAGGGTTAGGCTACAATAACTTTGTTAGATAAATCACAAACCTTTCTTTTCCTAGCAACGATCCGCTTACGTGATCATTACTAATGACTACCGAAGAGTTCCGGAATGAAAACGCCCGATTTATTTCACCCGATTCCTGTCTTGTGAGAATTTCTCACGTGTGTTAACACAAACGACCCTTGTTTAAAAAAATAAAAAAAGAACTGCGCTGTCACATTCCACTTCTGCTACTGGTATTTTCCAAAGTCTTTATTACGATGTTGACAAAAGAGAAGTCGCGAACACCCGCTCCGGCTGAGGTGATCTCGTTGCTCCCACCCGGCAGGGTCACCGAGCACGGATCCAGGCACGATGCACAGGGGAATCCTAGCAGCGATGCACCGGATGTGTGTGTGGAAGTGACTGACATCAACTCACGACCCATTGGTTCTTCCGAGTTGACCTAAGACTCCTTTCGCCTGCCACTGGCCGCCTGGTTTGTCTATTTGAACAGTCCCCGCCCTCCGGAGAAGCCGGTCCCGAAGCTTCACTTCTCCTTCATTCCTATTGGTCAGCATGCCAGTCTATTTTCGTGTTAGCCCTGTCGATTGGTCTTCAGAGCTGTGAGCCCGCCCATCCTCCCTCCCGGCTTAGAGGACAGCGGGGAAGGCGGGCGGTGGGACTTGGGGGCCTGAGGCAGCGTTACCGGTGCTGGCGGCGGCAGCTGAGGCCTTGGCCGAAGCCGCGCGGTGAGTCTTGGGCTGGGCACCGAACCTTGGAAGGCGGCAGGATGGCCGGACGTACGGCCAGCCTGGTTCGGGGTGGTGGTGGGGGTGCCCCGGAAAGCTGCCTGACCAGGACGTGGGACCCACGATCGGGACGCCGCCCGAGCCCTGGACTCCCGGCTGCACCCCACAAGGCTATGTCCACCTCCCAGGGACACCTCGACCTCCACCCTGGAGACGCCCAGGTCCGTGGGCCTGCCGTGGGTCCCAGGCTGGAAGGCCGGCCCATCCGCTCCGGTCCTGCGGTGGCACCTTTACCCGTCCCTGGACCCCTTTCCTGTTGCGGGTCAATGTCAGTCCCGGGCGCCGATCCCATCTCTGGGATTCCTGATGTCTGGCCGTCCCACTCTGCCCGAAGCCTTGCTGGCACCTTGGGGAAGTTTGGCTTGCAGGTGGGGCACCTGCTTAAACCCTGTCCAAGTGCACGCCTTTTCCAGCGAGGGGCAGTGCCTTGGCAGCCTCCTCCCTGCTCCTCACACGCACACACCAAGCGTAGTGGTTTCTTCTTCTTATGCTGGATTTTGGTTTCCCCTCCTTCCCCTCCTGGCTAATAACCTTTGCCCTGGAGTCTTTGAGGACTTTTCAGAACCAGTTATTGCCACCTTTTTTCCTCCTCATGTCACAAATTTGTTCAAGAAGAATTGTGGGAGATTGTTTTTCTAGACTGATCTGGACACAATTGAGTGTGTGTTACTTCTGATGCAGTGGGGGCCCGAGCCCTGTTCTGGCCACTTTCACGCCTGCCAGCTTGTGTTTTCCTGTGGGCTGTCAGGGAGAAGGGGCAGTGCAGTGGAGGGGTCAGTGGCCAGTGGCCAGGGGTATCAGGTGTCTGAGCTGCTGCTGGAAGTGCAGCCGGGCTTGATATTTGCGGGAGGATCTGTCTCAGGACACTCCCAGTGCGTAAGGATGCTCCAGTCACTTGTGGAAAATGATAGTGTTTGCGTTGGCCCCTGCACACTCTTCCCTTGGGCTGGCTCCAGTCACGCCTAGAAGAGTCCCCGTAACAGGAGCAGGGCCTGGATGTGTTCAGCGCACACTCAGCTCCTGGCTACAGATGGTTGATTGCACGTGTGGGACCACATCTGTGTTCTGTAGTGTGGACTGCACCGCCCACCGCAGGAACCCACCGGGAGAGGCTGAACTGTGGCAGCTGCACACAGATGCCTCAGTGTGAATGTTCGCCAGAACAGTAGATACTTCACACACACACAAACCCCTAGAAGATTTTATATTGATTATATGTTCCAATAATCTTGTGGAAAGATATTTAATTACATAGAATACTTTAATTTCACCTTTTTTTTTTTTTAAATAAACTTATCTTGGGGCCAGCACTGTGGAGTAGGGAGTTAAGCTGCCGCCTGCAGTGCTGGCATCCCCTATGTCCCTATGTAAACAGGTTCAAGTCCAGCCCCTTAGGGATGCAGCTGTTAAAGCAAAGCAACAGCAGCAGCAAAGCATGGCCCAAGTGCAGGGGCCTTGGAGCTTGAGGGAGACCTGGAAGGAGCCCCAGGCTCCTGGCTTTGCCCTGGTACAGCCCTGACTGTTGTAGTCACTTGGGCCTCTGTAACTCTGCTTTCAAATAAATAGGTAGATCTTTAAAAATAAATAAGCTTATCTTTAATCCAGGCGCTTGTTTTTTAGATGTATTTATTGATCGATTTTATTGAGAAAGATAGGTTTACAGAGAGAAAGAAATACAGAAAGATCTTCCACCTACTGGTTCACTCCCCAAGTGGCTGCAATGGCCAGAGCTGAGCTGATCTGAAGCCAGGAGCCAGGAGCTTCTGCTGGGCTTCCCTTGCAGGTGCAGGGTCCCAAGGCCTTGGGCTGTCCTCTTCTGTTTTCCCAGGCCACAGCAAGAAGCTGGATGGAAAGTGGAGCAGCCAAGACATGAACCGGAGCCCACATGGGATCCTGGCACATGCAAGATGAGGATTTAGCATTAGGCCTTAGTGCTGGGCCCAGGTTTTTGTTTGTTTGTTTTGTTTTTAGCGTTCATTTATTTGAAAGTCAGAGTTACAGAGAGAGGGAGATGGAGAAAGAGCTCTTGCGAGCGTTGGTTCACTACCCAGATGATAGTGACATCTTGTGACTTGGTGAGACCAGGAGCAAAGGACCCATGATGCACTGCTTTCCCAGTTGCATTGGCAGGGAGCTAGATGGAAAGTGGAACAGCCGGGACCCAAACTTATTCCAGTACGGGGTGCTGGCATAGCAAGCAGCAGGTTAACCCATTGTGCCACAATGCTGGCCCTCATCTGTTTGTTTCTTTTTCTAATATGACTCCTAGCAAATTAAAAAAAAATTATTATTGGATATTGCTGCTTTATAATTGCAGTCTCCTTCATTAGATTGAACCTCGTGACTAAAGGGACAGTCTTAGTCATTCGTACTTCTTTTCCTGCCTCCCTACCTCTCAGCCAGGTTCTGTGCCGACTGCACAGCAGCCCTGGGAGTACTGGCTAGCAGCGACCGAGGCGTAGCTACATGCCGGGCTTGGCTCTTTGTCCTGGTTTAAGGATTTCCCGATTCAGAAGGTGGGGTGGCGGTGCTCACCTGGTGGCAAGGTACCGTGATCTCGCAGGGCAGCTCAGCCCTTATACTGCACATACCCTGCCAGCTATAGTTTTCCCAAATGTGGGAAACTTGACTGCGTGGCTAGTGGTAGTAGGGGACTGCATTTACACTTCCCCCGAAAAGGTTAAAAAAAAAATAAAGGGCAGAGTGACAGAGGGAGAGACAGGGAGATCTTCCCTCTATTGATTTACTTCCCAAATGCCCACGACAACAGGGAGCGGGCCAGGCCGAAGCCTGGAGCCAGGTGCTCCATCTGGGTCTTCCCCGTGGTTGCCGGGGACGCAGGTTACTTGTTCTGATCTGCTGCCTTCCAGCAGCTTGAGCAGGAAGCTGGATCAGAAGCAAAGGAACAGGGACTCCGTTCCCAACCCTCTGACGTGGGACGCACACGCCCTGAGCCACAGCTTATCCTGCTGTGCCATGACTTCCTCCCCTAGTTGTGTTTTTAAAAGTGTTGTAAACAGACGTTCACTCAGTTAATCTTCACGTCACTCTCACGTGCATTAAGTATCATTTTGTTTGTATCGTTGAGAAAACAGAAGATGTAAATGTTTTCTTCAAGGTAAATAAATCTGGAACAGGATTGAAAGCCAGGTAGTCTAGTTCCATAGCCCATACTTTGGCCTGTCACGCTAGACATCAGCTGTTATTGATTAAGTCTAGGCTTTAGAAAATATATATTTGTTTATTTATTTGAAAGAGTTAAAGAGAGAAAGATTCTCCATCCACTGGTTTACTCACCAAATGGTCACAGCAGCCAAAACTGGACCAGCTTCTTGTGGGTCTCCCAGGTGGGTACAAGGGGCCCAAGGACTTGAGTCAACTTTAACTGCTTTCTCAGACACGTTAGCAGGGAGCTGGATCAGAAGTGGAGCAGCCAGGGCTCGAACCAGCACCCAAATGAGATGCCAGCATTGCAAGTGGAGGCTTAACCTATTGCAGATTCAGCTCCATGCTAACAGCTGTACAACAGCCGCAGCCAGGAGCTTCTCCTAGGTCTCTCCCGAGGGAGGCACGGGCTCAGCGCAGATCACTAATGTGGACCTGCATCGGAAGTGGCATTCATGGCATGCTGGCATTGTAGGTGGAGGCTTTCGCTGGCACTCCACAATGCCCACTCTGAATGTAGGCTTTATACGTGTGCCTCAGTGTGGTCTGCCACCCTGTATAAAGCCCACTAGCTGCCTGGGGATGGTGGAAGATCTCTCCTGAAGAATGGGTGCTGTAAGTTACTGCCGTGGTTTGTTATTTGAGATATTAAAGAAACATCTCTCCGAAGAACCTCAGGGCAAGATGCTTGGGACTGGGCCTACCGCCGCCACCTCAGCTGCCACCACCTCGAGCAACGTGAGTGTCCTGCAGCAGTTCGCCAGCGGCCTCAAGAGCCGGAATGAGGAGACCAGGGCCAAGGCTGCCAAGGAGCTCCAGCACTACGTCACCATGGAGCTCCGCGAGGTCAGCCTGCAGGGATCTGTGGCACGCTTGGGCCAGCACCGGGTTGTTTTTTTATTTTCAAAAATTCTACTTATCTGGTCTTCATTTTGAAAGGTAGAGAGAAGGAGATCTTTTAGCCTCTGACTCATTCCCCATAAGGCTATAGGAGCCAGGGCTGGGCCAGGCCAAAACCAGGAGACAGCAACTCTGTCCAGCTCTCCTATCAGGGTCACAGGGACCTCAGGACTTGAGCCTGCTGCCTCCTAGGGTGGACATGAGCAAGAAACCAGATTCAAAACAGTGAAGCTGGGGCTTGAACCACTCACTCACCTGTGGGGTGTGGATATCCCACGCAGTGACCCAGGCTGCCACGCCACACACCTGCCCCGGCACCACTGGCTTCAATCCCTTTGGACAGCTCAGTGAAGCTTTGGAGAATTCCCCAGTGCCCCGTCCTAGAACGAGCAGATCTCTGCTGTGGTGGCTCACTCCCTTGGCCTTTGTCATGTATGTGTTCGCATTTAGGGCTCACATTATTTCTGTGGTCAAAGTGGTTGGAGAGTTGGTAGAGACCTGCATCTTGTGCGTCCCGAGCCCTGCTGGAGTGGATACCCCGGAAGTAGTTGTTCAGTAGGGATGGAGTGTGAGTTCAGTTGCTCTCTGGTTTCAAACTATGGACATGGACTGCACTTTGTCTTCTGTGGTTTGAGCCACAGCCGCTTCCTCTCTGGCCTTAACCTTCAGGCCCCAGCCATCCCACCCAACCCCCGCCCTCTTCAAGAAAACCTTGGAAATTGTTCTGGGTACGTCTTCCTTTGCAGATGAGTCAGGAAGAGTCTACTCGATTCTATGACCAGCTGAACCATCACATTTTTGAATTGGTTTCCAGCTCCGATGCCAATGAGAGGAAAGGGGGCATCTTGGCCATAGGTAAGGACTGAGTGGGAAGAGTAACAAGCAGAACTCAAGGACTGGTCCCCTCCATGTCCCCTGTGCCCGTGCCCACCACGTATTACAGGCTAGTTCCTGTTTGTTTAGTGAATTTGCAGGACCATGGGATTACACTAATTCTAGGACCAGTCCTAGGATGTAGGCAGAGCAGATATGTTTACATGTGGCAGCTGAATCTCAGAACCATTAGCAACTTCTATGGGGCCAGTTTGTCAAAAGTGGAACTGGAAGCCAACTTCCTACCGCCCCCATTGCCTTTAGCAGGCTCTGGTTTCTCTGCAGCGCTGGGTTTGACATAGCGGGGCTCGTGAAGGAAGAAGTGAGATTGTGACGCTGTTTGTACACGACAGATCATTTTCAGCTCCCCAGGACTGGTCGGCAATCCTGGGAACAATTATGCAGTCCTGGGTTTGTGGGTTTTTTCCCTTATTTCTTGAGGTGACACAGTATATATACTAAAATGACATCATTTTACTATTAAGTCATTGTGGCATGAAGATGAAGACTCATGGCATAGCAGTATGCCCAGGGTGGAGTGAAGGTGGCCCTCACCAGCTCCAGTCACAGCTCCCGAGTGTCCTGGCCAGCATGCTCCCCTTTGTCACCTTTTCCTGTCTTCTCTTCCAGCTAGCCTCATCGGAGTGGAAGGTGGAAATGCCACCCGAATCGGCAGGTTTGCCAATTATCTTCGGAACCTCCTCCCCTCCAATGACCCAGTTGTCATGGAGATGACGTCCAAGGCCATTGGCCGCCTTGCCATGGCTGGAGACACTTTCACTGCTGAGTATGTGGAGTTTGAGGTGAAGCGAGCCCTGGAGTGGCTGGGTCCTGACCGCAACGAGGGCCGGAGACATGCAGCTGTAAGTGCCTGCCAGGAACAAGGCCTGGGGGCCATGGCACTGTGTTGGGGTCCCTTGCTTCCTTCTAAGGTTCACCCCCCAAAAAGGATGCTCTGGGCTGAGCTTCTGGGCTGTGAGGGGGCACTGCAATCGCTGTCATGGGGATCGGTGGCTTTGTGCTCAGCTCCCTCTTTAGGGGACAGAGATACCAGGAGGGAGTGGGGACCAGGCCAGGGAATCGCGTGAAGACCTCCTGGCTCAGGTCTTGGCTTTGTCACATCCTAATTCCCTGGAGTTTGGCACAACTGCTTCTTCCTGCTTCTTCCAGTTTCTTCCTAACAAATGAAAATAATAACAAAGTTAAACATTAAGCAAGTGTATTTATTCAGTCAATCCTTAGGAGTACATATTTCTCTGGGCTGTCACAATAATGATGTAAGAAGCATGAAAGTGAGCCCTGATCCTGGGTTTCGGCACCAAAAAAAAAGAAAGAAAGAAAAAGAAAGTGAGCCTTTCCAGAGCTTGTTTTCAAACATCCCAAGGTCTCTGTCTTTGTAAGTGGCCTGGCCATACGAGCTGGGAGATGTGTGATCCATGTCCTGTCCTTGCTTTGCACTGGCTGCGATTGCCTGGCTTCTCTTCCCAGCAGGTGTAGTCCTGAAACAATAGAACAGTCTGGTTCGAATGGCAGTTCTCAGTCAGCCCTTTCCCCCCAGGTCCTGGTTCTGCGTGAGCTGGCCATCAGCGTCCCCACCTTCTTCTTCCAGCAAGTGCAGCCCTTCTTTGACAACATTTTCGTGGCCGTGTGGGACCCCAAACAGGCCATCCGTGAAGGTGCTGTGGCTGCCCTTCGCGCCTGTCTCATTCTCACCACTCAGCGAGAGCCGAAGGAGATGCAGAAGCCCCAGTGGTACCGGGTGAGGAGCAGGCCGGGTGGGGCGGCCCGGAGAGGGGCGGGCTCAGGGCGCCCAGCCTCAGGCACAGCGCCTCTCCCTGGGTGCAGAGCCTGTGTCACGTTTGTTGTACTGTCAGACATCTGCAGTACCCTCAGTAGGAATCAGTGGTTACCCTGCTGCATTCCATGAAAGCACAAGTCCAGTGATAGACAGAGTGCTTGGTGTGTCACTGAGCAAGAAAGCATGTGACTAAGCTGTGACTCTGTGTTTTTAGTGCTGAGACATCTCTTCAGCGGCAGAGTAATAGAAATGCCTCTTGCAGGCTCGTTCATCAGCTGTATGTAGCTGATACTGATTCAGAAAGGGCTCATAGCTGTGTGCCCACTGCTGCTGTGACAGGAACACCTATGAGCCTGGAATTCCAGAAAGGGCCAGACACGTGGCCTGGGAGACCTGGCCTCTGGCTTGCTGTGATGGGTGAAGTAGGATAAGTCACTCAGTTTCTTCGAACCGGGGGGGGTGGTTTGTTTGGTACAAACTGTGGGTGCTAATGGCTGTGGCTGCAGTGGCATGGTGTCCGAGTCAAAGAGTTGAAGCTAAATGAAATAATAGCATGGTAAGTCAGTGTTGTCGGTGCTGGTATGAGACACCGAGCCCATAGGCTGACACCTGAACCCCAGAGGTGCGTGGGGTGGACGCTGGGTGAGCACAGCATCCTGTCTCCACAGCACACATTTGAAGAGGCAGAGAAAGGGTTTGATGAGACCTTGGCCAAAGAGAAGGGGATGAATCGAGACGATCGGATCCACGGAGCCCTGCTGATCCTCAACGAGCTGGTCCGCATCAGCAGCATGGAAGGAGAGGTGAGATGCGGCGACCGAGCCGGCGGGCAAAAGCATGTCCTCGGGGAGCTGGCACCCCGGGAGGAGCCCCTGTGAAGAAAGCAAAACAGGAGATAGTGAGGGGAAGGTGCAGGAAGGCTCCGTGGAGGGCTGCCTGCGTGCCGTGGAGGAGCCCCTTGGAGCAGCCATGGGGCTGTGTGCCAGGCAGTGGCTTTCAAGGAGGAGGGAACAGTGGGTCAAGTTTGAAAAATGAATGGGGGGCCCAGCATTGTAGCCTAGTGGCTGAAGTTTTAACCTTGTGTGTGCTGAGATCCCATGTGGGCGCTGGTTCATACCGCAGAGGCCCCACTTCCCACCCATTTCCCTACTTGTGGCCTAGGAAAGCAGTCGAGGACGGCCCAGGGCCTTGGACCCTGCATCTGTGAGGGAGACCCAGAAGAGGCTCCTGGCTCCTGGCTTTGGATTGGCTCAGAACCAGCCATTGCAGTCACTTGGGAGTATGGAAAAGCTTCCTCTCTGTGTCTCCTCCTCTCTGTGTATCTGTCTTTGTAATAAAAATAAAATAAACCGCCCCCCCCCCAAAAAAAAAGAGAAAAATGGAACCGAAAGAGAGGAAGTGTGGCTGGTGCTCCCCGAGAAAGGAGCAGGTGGGAGGTACAGTCCGAGGGAAGAAGGGCCCCAGTTCACAGCCTCGTGGCTTTTGTTCTGGTTGCAGGGGTAGACAGTAGCAGCGGGTACACAGGGGAGTGACTGATGCCATGCCTTTTCTGGCATCCCTTGTTGTTGGGGAGCAGGGTACGGGGAGGTGGGAATAAAAGGGAGACCAGTCAGGAGGGGTATCAGCCTGAGAAGACAGGTGTGAAGGGACAAGGTGGGGAGTGGGGAGCTAGCTGTGCAGGGAGAGGCTGGAGAGCAGTCAGGCTGCCTTCCCCTGCTGACTGACTGGACAAGAGGGGGAAGACAGGCCGCCTAGAAGTCCATCCTGGAGGGCCAGCGTGGGCTCCTCAAGCCAGTGTCTGCTGTGAAAGGCCTGTGTCTCCCAGGAATAGGCCTGCCTGCTCTGTTCTGTCATCAAGGTGTGCAGCCCATGAGAACTTGGCCTTGGCACAAGTTGGTTGGTATCTTCCAGAGCAGCAGCCTGGCCCTTGGTCCTTTAGGCTGCTTGGACTTGAAAGTCTCAGGGAGCTGTGAAGGTGGTCTGGGTGAGCTAAAGCTGTGGCGGTGTAGATGCTGACAAGTAGATGGATTCGGGATCGATTTAGGAATTAGAGCTCCATCTGTGATACTTTCTGTGGGAAATGTTGGTGGAATTTTGTCATCCCTGGACTTCCTGGTGTAGCACTCACAGGGGTCATATAGGACAGGTTCCAGTCCCAGCTGCCCTGTACACTGTGGGGCTCAGGCCCGTGTGCCCTATAGTGTGGTGTGTTCATTCCTGTGGGATCCTTGTAAGCACCTCGGCCTCTGGGAGGGGTAAATGTAGGAGTGCGGAGCCCAGCACCAGATACTGGAGTTGTTTTTTTGGATTGATGGTTGACACATAATTATATATATGTGTGTGTAAATTATATATATGTGTGTGTAATATACATATATATAATTGTATATGTATATAATTATACATATATTTGCACACCCCTGTTATGTTTTACTATTGTATACATTGTGTAATGATCAAATTTGAGTAATTTGCATTTATCATTTCTTTGAGGTGAGAACGTTAGAAGTTCTCCACTAGCTAGTTGGAAATATAAGCTGCATTATTGCTAACTGTAGCCACCCTACTGTGCCATTGGTGCCAGAGCTATTCCTCTTAATTGTAACATTGTACCCACTAACAGCTTCTGTGAGACGCACCTTGCTAGTAGAGTTCCCATGTGGGGTCATAAGTGTGGTGCCTGGCTTGTTTCATCCAGCATAATGCCTTACGGGTTCTTCTCTAGGGTTTCAGATGACAGGATTGGGTTTATGGCTGAATAGTATTCCATTATATCCATGTAATGTATTTTTTTTTCTTCTTAAAAGCATTGAAATTATTTTATTTGACATGTCTGAGAGATGTATGGAAAGCGATTTTCTATCCCCTAATTCATTCCCAGTATCCCCTAGGACTGGGCTAGGGAAGCCAGGAACCAGAAACTCAGTCCAGCCACATCTGCTGCCCTCTCCTATGGCGTGCACTGGCAGTAAGCTGGATCAGAGTGGAATCACCCGTACCCAAACTAGGCTGGCACTCAAACCTGGAAGATGGGATGCGGGCATCCCAGGAGGCAACTGAAGCCCCGCATTGGGTGCCCCATATGCCACGTTCTCATTATCCATTCATCTGTGGATGAATACTTGGTGGATCCCGCATCTTGGCTATCATGAACAGTGCGGCAAGATCATACCCAGTGGTGGGATCGCTGCATTACACAGCAACTCTGTTTTTAATTCTCTTTTTAAGGATATTAAACAGTTTTGTGCCAATTGCTTTGGCAGCTTGTGTTAAATGCACATATTTCTCAGAAACAACAATTTAGAAAACTCAGATTTTAAAATTGCTCCATATGTGTTTAGGAAATTAAATTAATTTTAAACGAGACATTTGAGGAAGAAATAAGAGCTCAACAATGTGTTCTTTCAGAAAAGGGAGATGGATCCAAGTAATTTTAACTGATTTTAGGAAACCAACATAACATTAATGCCAAAATCAAAATCAGAGTAAAGAACTAAATATATAAAAACTAAATATATAAGAAATCAAATCCAGAAAAATATTTTTAAACATATGAATCCTTTTTCTTCCATTCTGTATCTCTTCTGAGATGATACTTTCATTTGTTTTTATGATGATCATTGTCATATATTTTATTTTCAAGATTTATTTGTTGAAAGGCAGATTTACAGAGAGAAGGGAGTAACAGAGAACAAAAGTCTTCCATCCACTGGTTCACTTCACTGGCTGCAACGGCCAGTGCTGAGCCAATCTGAAGCCAGGAGCTGGGAGCCTCCTGCAGGTCCCCCATGTGGCTGCTGGGGTCCAAGAACTTGAGCCATCATCCACTGCTTTCCCAGGCCACAAGTAGGGAGAGGGAGGGGAAGTGGAGCAGCAATAATCCTGGTGGACCCGCTTCCCATCCAGGTCCCTGCTTGTGACCTGCAAAAGTAATAGTGGGTGGCCCAATACCTTGGGACCCTGCACCCTTGTGGGAGACCTGGAGGAAGCTCCTGGCTCCTGGCTTTAGATTGGCTCAGCTCTATCTGTTATGGCCACTTGGGGAGTGAATCAATGGACGGAAGATCTTTCTGTATCTGCGTCAGCTTATGAATCTGACTTTCCAGTAAAAATAAATCAATCTTAAAAAAAAAAAAGTAACTGCTGGATATAGAATTCTTGGCTGGCTTATATTACCACCACCACCACCACCACCCCCCGCCCCCGGACCTTGAATATTTTTCCTGTTCTGTCCTACCATGTCAGGCTTAAGCTAAGAAGTCTGCTGTTAATCTTGTGGGAATGCCCTTGGGGCTTCTCTCTCAATTTTCCTTGTTTTTGACAGTGTAGCTGTGAGGTCACCTGGAGGGGAGGTCTTCCGGTCATGTCTGTTAGGAGCCTGTTTCAGCTTCGTGGACTTCGTGAATGTCTCCATGTGTCTCCCTAGACCAGGGAGTGGTCTGTGTCCGTTCCATTGAGTACCTTGTCTGTGCCTTTGCCCTCAACTCTTCACGAGGCACCTATAATGGGCATGTTTGTAGGTGTTTGTCCCATAAATCTCTAAGGCTTTTTTTGTTCTTTTTAATATTTATTTTCCTTTTTGTTGTTGCGGACCGGGCTGGGTGTTTGTCCTGGCAGGTACGATGCCCACACCCCACATAGAGTACCCAGGTTAGCTCCTGACTGAGCTGCCTGCACGTGCAGATCGAGGAGTGGGCTTGGTGGTTGACGTAGCTGGGTCAGAGATGAAGTAGCCAGGACTCAGATCAGCCCATGTGGGCTGTTGGCATTGCAGGTAGCCATTTAACAATGCAGACGCCACCAGGTTGCTCATGAATTGTCTTCCTAATGTTGTTGAATATTATATTCTCATATGTCATTGAGTTTTCTTAAAATCAGACAGTTCATTGGCTTCCCTTCTCTGGGCTCTGTTATTAGAGGGTTGCTATGTTGGTTTGGGGACATCCTGTTACACTTCGTGCTTCCTGTGGCTCTAGGTTGGCTTTTGTACATCCAGTGCATCAGTCCTGTTGGCTGTTTTGACAGGTGGCTTTTCTGGTAGAGGACTTCCTGTTGGTGACCAGTCCTAGGTTTATGGTTGTGTGCTCTCTTGGATTCAGTTCTTGGTGGTGCTGTGGGCTGTGCTTCTTCAGCTGTGATCCTCACTGCTGCTGTCTGTGTGTTTGTGGGTCTCAGCGGCCTGGGCTTCGGGGTTACAGGGCTGCCTTACCAGTCGGGATGCAGTTCCCTCAGGCTGGAATGTGCTGGCAGCACTGTGCACGCTCACTGGTTACAGATGTGGTGTTCCTGCTGGTTTCTGCCGAGCCACCTTTGTTTACCCAAGAGGATGTGGCACAGCATGCCCAGGAACAGGGAAGCCCTTGGCCCCAGGTGTGCCCAGAGGGGTGCCTGTCGGCGTTTGGGAGGCCCACGGGAGCTACTTGCTCTGGGAGCCCTGCTGGCAGCTCACTGGATCAGCTGAGTTGGCCTGAGCATCTGTCTCCCAGGCCCCCTGGCCTGAGTCTGAGAGCCAGCTGCTCAGCTGCTTCTTGAGATTACAGGTGGATGGACAGAGCTGCCAGGAGGCTCCCCAGGAGGCTTTGGTGGCTGAGTCACTTTGTAAAAGCCATGTGGTGCTTTCCAAGGCTATGGATGGTGCTATCTCTTTAGGCCCAGCCACTCAGGGCTGGTGGTTTGTTTGCTTCCCTTCCCTGTCCACGTTTGAATGGTGCTTCCCCTGAAGCCCAGGCAGCTCTGATGTCTTTGTTTCCTCCTAGTAAAACAGAACAATATTGATTAATATAGAAGGTTCTTGTCAGATTCAAATGAAGTGGTTCTTATTGACATGCTTCGTGAATTAATAAGGAGCTATTTAAATATAAGGTATAATTTCTTGGTTTGTTCACTTGTTCATCAGACATTAATTGAGCCCCTAGTAGGTACCTCTTAAGAACTAGAGTAACCTAACAGCCAATGAACATGTAAGTAAAAATAAATCATGTGGTGATACATGCTGCAGAGAAAAGTAGGGCCAGGGAGGGGAAGAGAGAACTATAGCATGGGTTAAGGATTGTATTTTAAACGTTCTGGGCCATTGGAACACAGTTGAGAAGGGGTAAGAAAAAGCCGTTCAGATAGCTGAGATTTTCAGACAGCTGATTCAGTGGCTACAAAGGCCCTGGCACAGGTGCAGCAAGAATGCCACTGTGCCTAAGTGAGTGGGCACAAGAGTTGGTGAGGGATGCAGTCAGAGAACTGCATGGGGTGGGGAAAGCACAGAACATGGGGCCCGGAGCACACTGTGTGGACATTTTGCTGGGGGTGGGAAGCTGTGGGTAGGCTTTGAGCATTAGCATACATTTGACTCATGTTTCAAACAGCCTGGCTTAGCTACTGTATTGAGAATGGGTCGCTGAAGGGCTCACGGTTGAAACTGAGAACCCAGCTTGGAGGGAACTAGGCAGTCTTCACAAGGGATCTTAGCAGCTTACACCACAGTGGGGCAGTCATGGAGTACAGAGTGGCTGGGGTCTGGGTTCTGGGTTTGGGGTTCATTGAGAGTGGAGCTGGGTGGGAAAGAAGGCAGTGTGTTTGCCTGACAGCCTACAGACATGATACATTGATCATGGTGGGAGAAGCTGGCCAGGAGTTTAGATGGGAACATAAATTTGAGGTGCCTGTTGGGCTGTTCTGAGGAAAGCTGTGGATGAGAGGAACAGATTTGGGGTCATCTGCATCTGGGGGTTACTTCAAGTCCCGAGGCCAGGTGAGGATCCCAAGGAAGTTGATGTGGGTGGGGAGGAGCTGAGGTCTGTAGCCCACGGTCAGGAGGGGGAGAGGACCTGATGGGACAGTAAGGGAGGGGAGGGTGCCTCGTGGAGTCAGTGTCCAAGAAGCCCGGGAGGAAGGCGCTTCCGGAGCAGGAAGGTGACTTGGATCCGACTCCCCAGTTGACGTGAGGATGGAAGCTTGGCCGTTGGATTCAGCAGCTTGTGAATCCTCTGTGGCCCTGACAAGAGTTGTGGGTTAGATTTTCTGAAAAATGAAAACACATATGTTAGGAACAGACTGGAAATTTTGAAGGCTGTTTTATAGCCTCTTTCTTTTCTTTCTTTTTGTTTTAGAGCGAGATTTATTTACTTGAGATATGAGAGAGAGAGAAAGAGAGAGAGATCTTCCATCTGCTGATTCAGTCCCCAGATGGCTGCAGTGCTCAGGGCTGGGCCAAGCTGAAGCCAGCAGCTTGCTGCAGGTCTTCCATGTGGGTTGCAGGGGCCCAAGTGTTTGGGCCATCTTCTACTGCTCTTTGCAGGCCTTTAACAGGGAGCTAGATTGGAAGTAAAGCATCCAGATGGTGCCCAGATGGGACGCTAACATTGCAAGCAGCAGCGTTACCCACTATGTCACAATGCTGGCCCCTCCTAGTGTGTTACTGTGCACTGTTTGGAGAATGAGTAACTCAGCCCTTCAGAAAGGGAGTAGGTGGGAGAGCTCAGCCGATTCCTACCGCCTTTGCAGGCCTAGAATTCTGAGATGGTTACTTGCCTGTGCACCTGCCTAGCATTCTAGAAAGAGGCCAGTCTCCTGACTGGGTTGCTGGCCTGCGACTGCCCTCCATGTTTGCAGATTTCCCTGTTGTGTTTGCAAGGTGGCCTGCCCAGGCCATACAAGAAGGTGAGAACCTTGAGCAGCCGGGCTCTACTCCCTCCTCAGTGATCAGTAGAGGGTGCTCTTCCTCATAGGTCAGGGTGAAGGTGGGTCCCCTGCTCTGGGGAAGTTGCAGTGCTCCCCTTGGAAAGCGTGCTTTGTTTCTGGGCCGGCACACACGTGGTTCTGTGAACTGCACAGTGCTCGCAGGGAAGAGCATTTGTAAGTGAGGGTAATCTGTCTTCTCTCCTGTGTGTAGCGTCTGAGAGAAGAGATGGAAGAGATCACACAGCAGCAGCTGGTCCATGACAAATACTGCAAAGATCTCATGGGCTTTGGAACAAAACCTCGTCATATCACACCCTTCACCAGCTTCCAGGCCGTGCAGCCCCAGCAGTCGAATGCCTTGGTGGGGCTGCTGGGGTACAGCTCTCACCAAGGCCTCATGGGATTTGGCGCTTCCCCCAGCCCAGCCAAGTCCACCCTGGTGGAAAGCCGGTGTTGCCGAGACTTGATGGAGGAAAAATTCGATCAGGTAAAGTGGGGCGTTGCCTCTCCCCCTTTTTCCCAGCTCTGTGCTTCACTTTCTTCTGCCAACCCTTTCTCCTTCCTCTCTCAGGTGTGCCAGTGGGTGCTCAAGTGCAGGAATAGCAAGAACTCACTGATCCAAACGACAATCCTCAGTTTGCTGCCCCGCCTGGCTGCGTTCCGACCTTCCGCCTTCACAGGTGAGCACTTCGGTGGAAGGCAGCAGGCAGGAAAGTGGTGGTGCCGGGAAGCTGGATCTGCTGCTCATTTGCACCACACCAGATAGGGGCTTGTCTCCGATTTCTTGGGCTTCTGCCCAGTTCCAGTGGTGTCTAGGCACGGGAACAATCCATTTGTAGAACATTCTGGGGCCCAGCAAGTTGCTCTGTATAGAAGCCAGCAAATTCATGAATGGACTAAAAAGAGATAGGTGGTTTCAGTATTGATCCTGTGGCAGCTTCTGGGTAACGGTCCAGTCGCCGTCCTGCCTGTGCCCCTGAAGTGGCCATCCCACCACGTTGGTATATGTAGGCAGAAGGGACTGACTGCTGCCCAGGCCCTGTCTGCAGTGGGCAGTGTGAGTCACTGCCCAGCTCAGGTACTGGTATCTTCCACGAAGCCCTTCTAGGATTGTTTGTTTCCTCCTTGCTTGTTGACCTCAGCCGTAGAAAGGCTCTGGCATCAGACCTAGGTGAATCCACTCTTGATCCTTAACTGTGACAGCTGGGCAGGTTATTTGACCTTCCTGATCCTCCACTTCTGACTTATAAAATTAGATGAAGGGCATTAATGCTCAAGCACCAATTATTCTAGTGCTACTGTTAAGCTAACAAAAATCCCTTTTGAAGTAGGTATAGGTAATAGTTGTGGAAATGCTCCAGTTGCCTGTTTATGCTAATGTGCTGCTCTTAACCTCCTACCTGGAGAGCGTGAGATGCCATTCTTGAACATCCTTCGCTGTGTACACATGGCCTGAGCTCCTTACACATTCAAAATCCAGCGAGAGCCAAGAGCATGCATGGGATGCCATGCCAACCCTCAGCAGCTTCCGTTCATAGCACACATTCTTTCCACACCACCCAGCCGGATGAGGTTAGCTGGTAAGGTGTTAGGCATGCTGTGAGCAGTACACGGTGGTAAGGATGAGACAGTTTGTCACGTGAAACTCCTGAACAGAAGGAAGTGATACAACAGAAGTCATTCGTGGCTTTTCCCTGTTCCTGCTGGCACTCAGCAGGTGCTCTCTTGCTTAAAGTTTAGTAGAGCTTCAAGTGATCTTGGATTGAAAGTCTGTGGTTCAGAAGAAGTGAATAAACAGCATGGGGGAAGGGTACGGGGAGGGGTTGGGGGAATCCCATAGCCTATGAAATTGTATCACTTAATGCAATGCAATTAATAAAAAATATATATATATATATATATATGAATACGCAGGCCAGGTTGTAGAATCAGCTGCCTTGGGGTTCCAAAGGCTGCCCTGCAGCAGGTTGCAGAGACTCAGGCTGTTAGAGTTATTGGTTTGATGTGAATTTGCTATTGTATTCAACACTTTACTGAAGTATGTTGGTACAAGTCTGTGTGCACAGCTCTCCTAAGCATATGCCTCATTGCTTAAGTTACACTTGTTTAAAACTTGTTTGGAAGTCACTGTGTGAACTTCGCAATGATGTAAGCTTGGGGAACCAGAGCCATTCACCTGAGGTGGGGTTGGAATCTACAGTGCAAAATTTCTATTATCTTGGGGTGTTGAATCTTAGGAGTGAGGCTGGTGTCCCGCTGAAGTGCTGTCCCCATAGGGGAGGCCAGCTGTCCTTGTAGAGTCACTCTGCTTCTAGGACTATATCATTTTGCTCTGCCTGTTTTCAGTCCCCAGTATGCCTGTTAGTTGACCAAATAAACAGCCGTAGAAGACCTTTCTCATTAAACTAGCATTGACATGTGTGTGTGCCTGTTGAGAGTGTAGTGGACTGTCTAAATGTGGTTTTGGAAGCCCTCAACACCCCAGCTTTGTCTTGCATGTGCGATCTTAGGCGTGCTTATGGCACACAGACTTGGGGTATGCTCTGAGAAGAAGAGATAAAAGGAAGGCAGGAATCTCAGCTTTCAGAGAAGTAGAACTCTTTTTGTTTAAGATTTATCTATATTTATTTGAAAGTCAGTCATACAGAGAGGAGGAGAGACAGAGAGGAACACCTTCTGTCCATTGATTCATTCCCCAAGCAGCCACAATGGCCGGAGCTGAGCTGATCCGAAGCCAGGAGCCAGGAGCTTCTTCTGGGTCTCCCACACGGGTGCAGGGTCCCAAGGCTTTGGGCTGTGCTCGACTGCTTTCCAGGCCACAGGCAGGGAGCTGGATGGGAAGCTGGGCCTCCGGGATTAGAACAGGTGCTCATATGGGATCTCAGCACATGAAAGGTGAGGACTTTTAGCCACTAAGCCGCTGTGCTGGGCCCAACAGCACCCTATCTTAAGTTGCTCAAGAATTGCCACTCCATGCTCACGGGCTTCTGTCACCATAAATGAACATACAAATGTGACCTTAAATTGCCAAAACTTGTTCTAGCACATGTCAGCTATAAGGGACAGGCCTGTGACTCAGCGGGTTTGCATGCCACTTGGGATACCTGCTCTGTTGAAGGGTCTAGGATTGAGTCTCACCCCTCCTTCCGATCGAGCTTCCTGCTAAGGCACAGCCTTGGAGACAGCAGATGATGCCTCAAGTGCTCTCATCCTGCAACCTGCACAGAGACCCACACAGAGCTCCTGGCTCCTGGCTCCTGGCTTTGGCCTGCCCAGCCCTGGCTGTGGTGGGCATTTGAGGGCTGAAATAATAGACGGACAATTGATTTCTTTCTCTTTATTGCTCTTCCTTTGAGATAAGTGAAAATGTATAGATCTAACACTAACAAATATTGCTAAGCAATCACAGAGTGCCTCTAGGCCCAGACTGGATAGAAAAGCTTGTTTCTTTCTTTTTTTAAGATTTATCTTGCAAAGTCAGATATCCAGAGAGGAGGAGAGACAGAGAGGAAGATCTTCCATCCAATGTTTCACTCCCCAAGTGACTGCAACGGCCAGTGCTGCGCCGATCTGAAGCCAGGAGCCAGGAACTTCCTCCAGGTCTCTCACACGTGGATGCAGGGTCCCAAGGCTTTGGGCCGTCCTCAGCTGCTTTCCAGGCCACAAGCAGGGAGCCTAGATGGAAAGCGGAGCTGCCGGGATTAGACCCGGTGCATTCAAGGCGAGGTCTTTAGCCACTAGGCCACTGTGCTGGCCCTGAGAAGCCTGTTTCTTATAAATCATACTGAATTTTACATTAAGTTTCATTGTAATATGAAATACTGTAGATTATCTTTGTTTTAAAATAAGATATAGCATATATTTTTGAAGGACAATTTTGTGATATAATTTTGAAGGTTGATTAGGTTTTTTGAATGAAGGAGAATACAGTATTTCTAAAAGATGTTATGTGAGAATTGATGACCAGACTTCAGGTAATAGTCCCTCTCGATTGGTGATGTTGTTCCAGCAGGCTTTCTTCACTTCAGTGCTTTATAGGAACCTGAACCTTCAGTGTGCAGACCAGCTCTTGATGTTGAGGCATCCACTTTGTCTTTTTTTGCCCTCAGATACCCAGTACCTCCAGGACACCATGAACCATGTCCTAAGCTGTGTCAAGAAGGAGAAGGAACGGACCGCAGCCTTCCAAGCCCTGGGGCTGCTTTCTGTGGCTGTGAGGTCGGAGTTCAAGGTCTATTTGCCTCGCGTGCTGGACATCATCCGGGCGGCCCTGCCCCCCAAGGACTTTGCCCATAAGTGAGTACCTCTATTAGGATTTCGCCCTCCACGCTCTGTGGTTGGAGAGGAAGGATGCCGCCTGCCACTGGCATGGGGTAAGGCCTTTCCATGCTCCATTGAGCTCTGGGGCTGAGAAAATAGAAAGCAGAACAACCTTCCCCCACGGAAGCACTGCCTTTTCCCGATGAGATGATGTTCCTATAAATGCTTCCTGAGAATATGTCAGGGGCTGCCGCTGCTCTCGGGTGCCCTGTTCATGGGGAATTCCAGAGTGTTCTCTTTTCTTTGGATTTCAGAAGTCTTTTTTCGATGTAAGACCTAAAGAAAGGAATTCTTGACTGGCACTGAGAGGAGCCTAAAAGCCGTCTTTTCCCTTACCAGGAAAGCTGGAGGAGATGCTGCAGCTCTTTAAACTTGCCCATCGCTGACCTGCAAGAGCTCAGTGTCCTGCCACGTGCAGAGTCCAGGGCACAGCATTAGTTTTTTCTTCTCAGAGTTGTGTCTCCATGATTCCCTGTTTCATTGGAAGATTGCTCTGCTGCGTTAGTAAACCCCACCAGTTCTAAAGCGTGGACATCTCCTGTGGTCCCTCTGCTGCCTGAGGGCGCGCAGCTCAGCTGGCTTCCCCACGAGATTGCTTGGTCAGCATCATCCTAAACCTGTAGCGTGCCCTGTGTGAATTCAGGAAAGGGTCCCTTTTGCTTCAGATACGTGACTAAGCAGCTGGATTGCTGACATCAATGATGAACCTATAGTGACTGAAATGATGAGGGGCCTCCCCTCGCGAATCATACAGTAGATACGTGTACATTCATCCCTGGTGGCTCTGCCTCAGTGACCTGTTCTCTTTGCACCAAGGTGACTTTGGTGCTCTTCTTGGTCCTCGTGCATCATCTTATCACAATGTCTGAAGCGGTCGCTCTGTGTTTTCTGTAGGAGGCAGAAGGCAATGCAGGTGGATGCCACCGTGTTCACGTGTATCAGCATGCTGGCGCGTGCCATGGGGCCGGGCATCCAGCAGGACATCAAGGAGCTGCTGGAGCCCATGCTGGCTGTGGGGCTGAGGTGAGTGTCAGGACAGGAGCGTTCCCTGTCCGAGTCAGTGGGAGGCTTGACCAGCAGTATTGGCACTTGGTTAAAAGAACACGATATGGTTGTTCAATTGTATAGACAACATAGGATAATTCTTATAATACACATGAGCTGTTTTGTTTGTTTGTTTGTTTAAGATTTATTTATTTACTTTGAAAGAGTTAAAGAAATGGGGAGAGACAGAGAGAAAGATCTTCCATTCATTGGTTCACTCCCTGGATGGCTGCATCCGCAAAGCTGAGCCAGGACAATGCCAGGAGCTTTACCTAGGCCTCTTTTGTGGGTGGCAGGGACCACACACTTGGGCCATCTTCTGCTACTTTTTCTAGGAGCATTTACAGGGAGCTAGGTCAGAAGTGGAACAACTGCGACTCCAATTGGCACCCCTAGGCGATACTGGCATTACAGGCAGTGGCTTTACCCATTATAGCACAATGGAGGTACCACAAGTAACTTTTTTTGTGTGTGTATACATATGTATATTTTTGTGGGGGAGGGAGGCTAGGCAGATTTACAGGGAGAAGGAAAAATGCCTTTCATTTTCTGGTTCACTCCCCATGTGGCCACAGCAGCTGGAGTTGAGCCGATATGAAGCCAGGAGTCCCTCCAGGTCCCCCACGGAGATGCAGAGTCCTAAGGACTTGGGCCATCCTCCACTGCACTCCCAGGCCTTAGGCAGAGAGCTGGAAGGGAGTGGAGCAGCCGGGCCATGAAATGCTGCTCATGTGAAATGCCAGCACTTGCTGACAGAGGATTAGCCAATTGAGACATACCAGCCCCTCCCCACCCACCCACCCTCAGTTACTTTTGAATCCTGGTTGTGTCACTAGCTGTGTGATCTCTTAACTTTTTAAATAATATATTTATTTATTTGAAAAAGCAACAAAATGTGGTTGGGTAGAGCTTATCTAGCCACTAGTTTATTCCCTAATGGCTGCAGCAGCCAAGGTTGGACCCATTTGAAGCCAAGAACTTCATCTGGGCCTCCCATAGGGGTGGCACCTACAGCCATTTTCACTACTTTCCTAGCACATAAGCAAAAAACTGGATCAGGAACATAGCAGTGAAGACTCAAACCAGCATTCTGATATGGGATGCCAGCATTGCACATTGAAACTTAACCACTGGGTCCAGCGTGGTGGCTTAGTGGCTACAGTCCTCACCTTGCACGTGCTGAGATCCCATATGGGCACTGGTTCTAATCCTAGCAGCTCCACTTCCCATCCAGCTCCCTGCTTGTGTCCTGGGAAAGCAGTTGAGGACGGCCCAAAGCCTTGGGACCCTGTACCTGTGTGTGGGAGACCTGGAGGAAGTTCCTGGCTCCTGGCTTTGAATCAGCTCAGCACCGGCTGTTGCAGTCACTTGGGGAGTGAATCATCAGATGGAAGGTGTTCCTCTGTCTCTCCTCCTCTCTGGATATCTGACTTTGCAATAAAAAAAAATGTAAATATTTAAAAATAAATAAATGAAAATATATTTCAAAAATTAATAGAAACTTAACTACCACGGTGTTGGCCCCACAAGACATGATCTTGACTAAACCCAGTGCCTGTACATAGCAGTTGCTCGATAGATTTTTATAGGTATTGTTGATGTTATTATTCTTGAGGAAGTTGCTTAGCCACTCTAAACCTTAGTTGCTGTCATCTGTAAAATAGGAAGATGTCCTTGATTTGCTTCCCAGAGTGTTTGTTGAGATGTGGTCTTCTATAGAGGTTGAATTATATTAAACAAGTTCTGTGGTAAAAACCAGAAGCTTCTAGATTGTTCTGGAATTTTAGACCAGGCCAAGAAAGTTCAGTGTTTATTGGTATCCTTGACGCCCCATCAGTGATGAGCCTAGTCTCCTTGGCGAGCAAGAAGGGTTGTTTGTTTCCAAGAACGGATTAACGGCCACGTGCCCTGGCCTGAGTGTGACTGGTCTCCCTCCCCTCAGCCCTGCGCTCACTGCTGTACTCTACGACCTGAGCCGGCAGATTCCGCAGCTGAAGAAGGACATCCAAGATGGGCTGTTAAAGATGCTCTCCTTGGTCCTTATGCATAAACCTCTCCGGCACCCGGGCATGCCCAAGGGCCTGGCCCATCAGCTGGCATCCCCTGGGCTCAACACCCTGCCTGAGGCCAGTGATGTGGGCAGCATCACGCTTGCCCTCCGGACCCTTGGCAGCTTTGAATTTGAAGGTAAGGACTTAACCTTTCTCCTGTTAAGATAGCGAGTGATGCTGCCACCTTGATGAAAGGACACACCTGCCTAGAGTTCCTGGGTCTTCCCAGTGTGCTGCAGACAGGCTCCTTCTCAGGCCCTGTGCATTACTGCTCATCCCTTGTCCCGTACCTGTCAGCAGCTCTTGGTTAGGGAAGGTAAGCACTGATCTGAGACAGTCTTGGTTCAGAGACGGAGAAGTTGGAGTCGCCTCCCACGCAACTCCTCACACCTGCTGTGGCTGAGGCTTCAGAACACGCAAGCAGAGCCTCGGTGTTTCCGTGCCAGAGTGCTGAGCTGTGGGCTTCGGTCTGGAGTTCCAGGGTGCAAATAAAGCCACATTAATACCTCAGGGAGGGATGTCAGGACAAAAAGTGAATGCTTTCGAATTTTGGAATTATGTGGCTAATACTGGCTAAGCCTGCAGGGGAGCTAGCAAGGACAAGAAGGCCCAGTGTGCAGTCAGAGGCTTAGCCCGCCATGCCTTCCCTGTTAACATTCCTCCACTTGGAGTGATTAAGAGGAACCATAATTCTTTTCTGATGAATAGCAAGTAACTTGTTTAAACCCAGTTTACATCAAACACTGTGGTATTTCAATCCGACAACTGAAATTAGCAAGGTCAATTTGATCAGGAATTGTTTTCCCCTCTGGGAATATAATGGATTGGGTCACAGTAAAAGGCAGTCATGCCTTCCATGAAGGGAGTATAGAAAAGCACAAAGTCAGGGCCACCTTTCTGCCACTCCCTCCTCCTTGTCTGCCCCCTTCTGCCTTTCTGCCTATTAGAAGCCACAAATGGAAAGTACAGCTAGCAAGCTGCTGCTGCAAGTTGCAGACCCGCCTGTCTAGAGCAGTAACCTTCATTCTGTTTCCTCTCTGCCTTTGTGCTCAGGCCACTCTCTGACTCAGTTCGTACGCCACTGCGCCGATCACTTCCTGAACAGTGAGCACAAGGAGATCCGCATGGAAGCTGCCCGCACCTGCTCCCGGCTGCTCACGCCCTCCATCCACCTCATCAGCGGCCACGCACACGTGGTCAGCCAGACTGCGGTGCAGGTGGTGGCCGACGTGCTCAGCAAACTGCTTGTGGTCGGGATAACAGATCCTGGTAAAGCGAATGGGACAGAGGCAGCCTTGGGTGTTCGGGAGCTCGGGCAATCGGAAGTAGCTAGTTTGGCTACATGGCCTCTAAGATCTCAGCCTCGACTGGTGCTGGGTTGGTTCTGTCAAGGCTTGGCACCAGACAATCTGTCAATCCCATCTGACAGTCTTGTCAAGCCCATCAGCACCAGACAATCTGCTGTTAGAGCTTTTATTCCTACAAACAGAGAAAAGAATGACAGTGAGATGGAGAAAGGTGTCTGATACCTTCCAAGCAGGGTGATGGCAGTGGAGGGGTACAGTGGGAAAGGGCTGACACAGTGTAAGATCATGAAGATGTGTTCAAAGGCTCCATTGCTTTCACAGACCCTGACATCCGCTACTGTGTCCTGGCATCCCTCGACGAGCGCTTTGATGCGCACCTGGCCCAGGCTGAGAATCTGCAGGCCCTGTTTGTAGCCCTGAATGACCAGGTGTTCGAGATCCGGGAACTGGCCATCTGCACTGTGGGCCGACTCAGCAGCATGAACCCAGCGTTTGTGATGCCTTTCCTGCGCAAGATGCTGATCCAGGTACGGGGGTGACAGTCAAGCTGCAGACAGTGGGAAAGGAGTCTCCGTGAGAACTGCTGGAAGGAGAGTTAAGGACAAGGAGTGGGGGAGAAAGACTCAACTGCCGGTGAAAGCCACACTTGGCTTCAAGGGCCCATGTGTTTTCCAGGCTTTCTAATGGCAGTATAGAGTTCATCCCCTTCTAGGCCTCTTGTCTGTGTAATTCCTGAGTGCTTCCCTATCCCATGCCAACCTCTCCCTCAGCTGCGTCTCATTCTTGGCAAGTCACCAGCAATTCTGATTTTTGGCTTTCTTCACATACTTCCATGCCCCGTCTCCTGTGGTTGGTCTTAGTCCTCCTGGCATCTTTTAGCCTTGCATGTGGCTGCTAGGCCACTGTTGTGAACACAACCAGGAAGTGTGAGCGTGGTTGCAGCCTGCTTCCCTACTGCCTCGCCCTTGGTATGTGGTACCTTGCTTCATTCTTAAGTGCTGCAAGATGCCAGGCTTAGCTGAAAGCAGTTTCAGGTTGGTGCTACTGCTAGGTCTGGTAGGATTTTCAGTTTCTGCCGAAAGCTGGCTTCTCAAGTTTCTTCCTCACCTACACCCCCGGTAAGCTCTCTGGCTTCCCTTTGAGTGGTGTGTGGGCCCACTCTCTCAGCTGTAAGTTCCTGCTAAGCTCTCCTGCTTTCATATGGCTCACCCTGTCATCTTCTGTCCCCTCACGTCTGCCCCCTCCTGGCCTTACCCCTACTTCCTCACCCTCCCCATGATTTCTTCTGAAAGACACACTTTTCATGCTTTGTGAGGAACTTGAATTTAGGAACCCGTTACTGTATATAACTCGCCCTAGAGAAAAGCCAATGCTTGTGTCTTGTAGAGAGCTTCCTCTGTTTTTCTCTAATAGTTTGATGGTTTCTGTGCAGACTTAGGTCATTAATCCATTAAGAGTTGGTTTTTGTGTAAGGTGACAGTGAGGTCTTGCTTCATATTTCTGCAGGATGATGTCCAATTGTTCCAGTGGCATTTGTTGAAGATACAAAACTTTTTTTCCTGGCTTATTTTCAGTTCTCTTGTCAAAGATTAGTTGGCTGTATATGTGTGGGCTCCTTTCCGGGATTTCTGTTCTGCTCCACTGATCTGTTTCTGTACCAGTACCACTCCCCTGTAGCATGTCTTGAAGTCTGGAATTGTGATTCCTCCTGCTTTATTTTTATTCTTCAGGATAGCTTTGGCTATTCATGGGCTCTTATGTTTCCAGATTAATTTTTGCATCATCTTTTCCATTTCTGAAAAGAATGTTGTTAGGTTCTGATTGGCATCGTGTTGAATATTACTTCTGGCAACATGGACATCTTGATGATGCTGATTCCACTGATCCAGGAACATGTAAATTTCCTCTTCTTTTAATATCTTCTTCTATGTTTTTTTAAAATGTTTTCTAATTTTCATCATAGAGGTTCAAATTAGAAGGTTATACTTACGTTAGCACTCCTGGTTTTAGCCTAATGAGTTATGTCTGAAATACTGGTCTGCCTAAGGAGCACCTGTCATTTAAAGTCTTTCTGAAGTACTTAAGGCTTTGGGAAGGTAAAGGAATCCTTCTGGAACCTGCCAGCTCAAAGGGTGTTACGTGTGACGCAGAAACATCTCCTAGTGAGAAACGTCAGTGTGTTCATCCCACCAGCAGCTGTTTCGTGTGGGCACCGGCTGCTGGGTGCTCAGGGGCAGCCGTGAGTAACCAGATGTGTTCTTAAAGCTCATGTGAAGCTGCCAGGCGTTTCTGAGCTCACGGAAGGTGGAATTGAATCAGTGCTGAATTGTCCTTGAAACGTCAATGTTCTAAATAATGTTTTGGTTTGTTTTTTCAAACTTGGGCATGAATCTCTGGAGACTGACTTGTACAGTTCCCTGCTAGGATAAAGGTTTGGCCTTTCCTTGAGGCCTTGGTCAGTGTTCATTGGGAGCTGAGAGGCTCTGGCTCTGGAAGTGAACTTGGAGTCTTTGGTTTGACCCTGGTTTGACCCTGAGTCGTGGCCTGCTCCTGAGGGTCGTTTCTCCTTCTTTGATGACTCTCTGCTCTGGCTGGGAAAAAGGCTGGAGGTAAGATCCAGAAAATCGGGGAAATCCAAGACAAAGTATAAAGCCACCGCTCCTCAACTTACAATGGGGTTGCTCCCATTAAACTCTTAGGAAATCGTGAGTCAACCCAGCATGTGTCTGTCATTACATTGAAGACTTCTCTGCTACCAGCTGGGTTTTGTGACGTTCACTCTCCTCACTGCTCTAAGATTTCCTTCTGGCATCTTCAGCTATCCAGAAGTCTGTATGAAGATGTCTGTGTGTGCCCTGAACTCAGTGGGTTGATCTGCTGGTGTGCTAAGGATGTCGGTAAGAACAGCACATTCTCTCTGTTGTGTAAGATCAGAGGATCCCATTGCTGTGAGCCCCGCCTCCATGGCTTTATTGAGCTAGATCCCAAACAGCTGTGGAGTATCAGCATTTCCCAACATCCCAGCTTTTCTCACTGATCATCGATTCCTTTATCATCATTTATTGACCCTCTTGGTGATTTGCTGTCCGGGCAAAGATTTTTCTCCCAAGGAGCCCTCTCTTCGTTACTCATTTCTACAAAAGCCTACTCACAGCTCTGCTTGTTGATTCTCTCAATTTTCAATGACAGTGCTGCACTGTGAAAAGTTGTGCTTTGGAAGAACTGTGAGTGCTGTGTTGGAGGCCGGGGGATCCTCTCTGATTGTGGCTTTATTCCTGGCTGTTCCATCATCTGCAGAGGTGTCACTTGCTTATTCGTTAGCTAACAGCTAGTTTATCCCTCATGGAAGTTTGATTCTGTCTCCTAGTTACGCCTCCCGCCACATTTTTCTATTCGGTACGTAGTTCCTTTCTAGCCTGTTCCCTGCTACAATGAGCCTTTCTTCTCTTTAGATTTTGACAGAGCTGGAGCACAGCGGCATCGGAAGAATCAAAGAGCAGAGTGCCCGCATGCTGGGGCACCTGGTCTCCAATGCCCCCCGCCTCATCCGCCCCTACATGGAGCCTATTTTGAAGGTACCGCATAACAGACTGAGAGACCAGCACTTACTTCCTGGATTGGCTGTTTGGGAGGCAGGAGTATTTCAGTGGGCACTAAACAGAGGGATAGTTCCCACACTGGGGTGAAGGCCATATCCAGCACATTCACTTAGAAAATACCAGAGCTCACCACTTGCAGGAAAGTGCTGTCCTTAAAAGAGATAAGATGTGCTGCTTCAGGTATGTCCTCAGATGCGCTAGGGAAAGAGAAGCAAACGAGTAACAGCAGCAAATAGCCACCCCAAAACTCAGAAAAATGGCATGTAAAATCTGAAATAGGGACCAGCATTGGGTGTGGTAGTTAGGATGCCACTTGGGACACCTGCAGCCCATATCCGAGGGCTGTTCCGCTTCCTGGAAATGGGCACCCTGGTCAGCATCGGGAACGGCGTAAGTGGTTGAGTCCCTGTTGCCAACATGGAAAATCCAGATGGGAGTTCCTGGTTCCAACTTTGGCTGGACCCAGCCCTGGCTGTGGTGGGCATTTGGGGAGTGGACCAGCAGTTGGGTGTCTCTCTCTGTTTTGCAAATAAATAGCAATTAATTTTCAGAAATCTGAAGCACTCTTCAAATCTGTATACAGAAGAGTTATGTAAAGTCTTTGGTAACATGTGTGCATCTGGACAAATGATCACGGAGATATAGGTCAGAGGTGATGTGGGGAACTTTTTAACTTGTGCGCCCCAGCTCTCTCATGTCTCACCTGTACTTACTGTAGATAAGAGAATGAGGATGCACATTCCAGAGAAGTCCTTGATGCATAAATTCTAGCAGTATTTTAGTTATCATGGAGATGGTCCCTTGGGTAAATTTGCTTAGGTAAAATATTTGTAGTAGATCCTAATCTGCATGTGTTTTCTTGTACCTTCTTTCCATAGGCTCTAATTTTGAAATTGAAAGACCCGGATCCTGATCCAAACCCAGGTGTGATCAATAATGTCTTGGCTACAATAGGAGAATTGGCTCAAGTAAGAGGACAAATACTGTTTTCATTGGATGAAAATAAATTGTGTAAGCTCTGAATATGTCAGGCACTTCTGAAGGCCCAAATCTCTTAATGCTAAATGCCAGCATCCTCTTCCTCTTGCAGGTTAGTGGCCTGGAAATGAGGAAGTGGGTCGATGAGCTTTTCATCATCATCATGGACATGCTGCAGGACTCCTCTCTGCTGGCCAAGAGGCAGGTGAGGGCGCACTGCCTGTCCGCAGCTCTTATTTCTCCTGAGTCACCTGAGACTCCTGCCGGTGCCCAGAAGCAGTAACACGTGGAACCAAAACTGGCTGTCACCTGACCTAGAGATGTTTGACCTGTGTCATCTTCCTCTGTGCAAAGGAGAGGCAGATAGAGCCTCCTCCCAGCTCCAAGAGGGAGAAGAAAGCCTAGGCCACCCCCTGGGGGGACGCCAGAGCTCCAGCTCTCAGCTGGCCCTGGTTCCACTTCTGTCATGGAGGGTTGCTAGGCTCAAGTTAGGAAGAGTCGTAATTACCTTGGGAATCCCGTTGATCTTCGGGATACAGAGGGACAGAACTGTGTGTTCCCTTGGAGCTAGGTGGGAGGATTCCTTTTCAGCCTGTAACTGTTGTAGGTGTATACTTGGTTAGCCTTGTTTTTGTGTCTTCTCAGGAATTGTGCTCATGGTTAGTATCTTTGTTGGGTACTTCTCATGATAACCTCTGACACTTTGTTGGGACCATTATACGGAAATCATAGCTCTACTTGCTTTTCTGTCATCCTGGCTTGAGGAACCGATGATCTTTTGTCCTTGCAGGTGGCGCTGTGGACCCTGGGCCAGTTGGTAGCCAGCACGGGCTATGTGGTAGAGCCCTATAGGAAGTACCCCACTTTGCTTGAGGTGCTGCTGAATTTTCTGAAGACTGAGCAGAACCAGGGGACACGGAGAGAGGTAGGGAACGGGGTAAACTTGGGAGAATAGAGGACGAGAAGCTGGTGGCATGTAGCCATCAGGCTCTGTCTCAGTTTGGTTTGTGTAGTTGTTGTATGTGAACTGGAGATTGTAGAACGTGAGAGCAATCTCCATGCAAGCTGCTGTAGTCAGATGCTGTGGTAAGTTCCTTGTGTCCTCCTGTTCTTGCCTAGGCCATCCGAGTGCTGGGCCTTCTAGGGGCTCTGGACCCCTATAAGCACAAAGTGAACATCGGCATGATTGACCAGTCCCGGGATGCATCTGCCGTCAGCCTGTCCGAATCCAAGTCCAGTCAGGATTCCTGTAAGTGGAAGGCAACCCGCAAAGACCTGCCAGCTTCCCGGCTCACAGAGCCCTCGGTGCTGTGTTCACACAGCGTGTCAGGCTGGATGACTGCACAATTAGAGGATATCAGCTTGTTTTGCAACTTTTGAATTAAGAATAGTGTCTGTTTAAGTGCCAGGGGGATGCTGCTACTAGTATGGCCAGAATTCACAAGTCTGTATTGCTTGTCAAGGGGTAACAGGCCAAGTCTGCTCTCCCAATGGCAATAAGAGACAGGAGTTGTCACCCTGTCACCTCTGCCCATCACTCCTGTGTAAGTGCTTTGATGCCATATATTTCTGAGGCATCCAGGAAAGATAGGATAAAATTTATTCTTGCTGTTGTAATTTGTAAGAGAAAAGTATCTAAGGCAAAACTCAGGGCTCTAGGGATCAGGTAGCAGTCGGAAGTCTGGGGCTCTTTTGCCGGCAGGTGCTCTCACACTGAGCCCCTTGCCTTCTGACAGGTAGCCCAGGTGTGGGTGAGAGGATGGGAATGCGAGAGGCGTTTTCTAGACTTAGCCCATCGCTCGTACGGGCAGGCCGGCTATTGAAACCTGAAGTTAACCGTGGCTCTCCCAACTATTCCAACAATGCACTATTTTCCCCAAAACTAAATAATTTGTTTCTAAACTCTGTGCGTGGGATGATACTGGTCTGAGCTGCTTCTGCGTGTTTCAGAAGTGTGGCTGTGGTATCAGCCTGTGAGGCTCAGGACTCTCAAGGGCAAGGCGCAGCTCCAGAGCTTCTTGGTGTCCTTTATGGTGCTGAGTCACCTTCCACACTGCGTCACTGCTTGTCGGTCACCAGCCCAGCCCCACCGCCCGCCCAGGAAGAGTCCTTAGGGTCCTTGTTGTTCAGGCCAGGTCACGTGGGCCGGCTCCTTTGTCTGAATACCCTAAGGGATGAAGCACCTGCTGGATGAGTTTGCTTACTTTAATTCCCTTTACTTTCATTTGACGGAGTAATTCATTTTATTGATGGTTTCAGCTGGAATGGTAAGAAGCCGAGTTAAACAGAGCAATTTAAAGGAGATTCATCATCATTCAGCTGTTTTAGGTGTTGGTGATGAGGTCATGGAAAGGCCAATGAGTGTTTAGTCTTGGATGGTGAGGGTTTATTCGTTGGCTCCTGACAGATTGCATCCCCGGTGTGTTAGAACAGGGAGAGAGGTGTGAATGCTAATGTCCGTCAGAAGGCTCTCGTTTGCTGTCTGCCTTGGGCTGCGTGGGGGCAGAGTCCTGTCACACGCGGCTGGTGACTGCCTCCGTGCTTCCGTCCTAGCTGACTACAGCACCAGCGAGATGCTGGTCAACATGGGAAACCTGCCTCTGGATGAGTTCTACCCAGCCGTGTCCATGGTGGCCCTGATGCGGATCTTCCGAGACCAGTCCCTCTCGCACCATCACACCATGGTGGTCCAGGCCATCACCTTCATCTTCAAGTCCCTGGGGCTCAAGTGTGTGCAGTTCCTGCCCCAGGTCATGCCCACCTTCCTGAATGTCATTCGTGTCTGTGACGGGGCCATCCGGGAAGTGAGTATTGTGCCCTCAGCCCTCGCTGCTCTCTGCTCTGTGTCACAGGTGCATAGATAGAACAGAGATCCGTGCACACCTCAGCTTCCTGATGCTGCACTCAGCTGGCTCGTGAGCCCAGTGCCCTTCCCCCACTTCCACCCAGCAGCCAGGTGCACAGTCAGCTCAGTCCAGTTTCTGGTTGTCCCCTCCAGGCAGCCAAGATGGATGGCCTGGGGAAAGGACAGAACTGTGATTCTTCATGATACAGAGTTCAGTCCAGTTGTACATGTCCCACAGTGTGAATTTTTCATTTCTTTATGATTAGATTTTGCTCATATATTTTGAGAGAAAACTCTACACAGTGTAAGTTGCATATTTCTTACTGCATCTCATAGTACCAGCTTGCCCCATCATTGGCCAGCCTACATTTGAGCATGTAGTGGAGCTGGTACCATCTCTAGTAGAGCTCTCCTTTTTCTTGTGCCGCTAATCTGATCTATAAGGTGACACCTGGGAGGCTGTATGACTGTGCTGTTTCCCAACTGGCTTTTACCCCGCGACTTTAGCACTTACTGATGATCCTTGCCTGAGTCAGTATCACACTGTTGCTTGCAGAATGCTAACTTATGGTTCTATTATTTCTATTTTGTTAGTGGACTTTTTTGTTCTTTCTTTTTTTAAAGATTTTTTCTTTGAAAGACATATTTATACAGAGAAGGAGAGATAGAGAGCGAAATCCTTTCACTCCCCAAATAGCCACAATGGACAAACTAGGCTGATCCAAAGCCAAGATTCAGGAGTTCCTCTGGGTCTCCACAGGGTGCAGGGGCCCAAGATCTGAAATCACCCTCCACTGCTTTCCCAGGCCATAAGCAGGGAGCTGGGTGGGAAGTGGAGCACCCAGGACATGAAATGACATCCATATGGGAACCTGGTGCCACAAAGAGGATAGCCTGCTAGGCCACTGCACCTGCCCACGTGGAGATTTTTCTGTGGAAAGGAATTCCCCGTTGCCTCCTGTCTCATGTACATTCTTTTTTCTTTAAAACACAGAGCGTACAGATTACACGTTACACTTCCTATGGCAGACCCGCTACATCAAGTTCAGCATTTCCACTCTTCCTGAAATACACTACGATGTGTTTACACTCTCACGAGATTTTGATTCATTCCTTTTCCCTCTGTGATCATGTTACCCGCTTGCTGTACCTTTAAAGGTGACAGTATTATTTTAGAAATTCTGTTTTCTAACTTTCTATCTGGAGTGTCGAACACGCTTTATTTTTACACGTTCTGCTTTGTAACTACCAACCTTATTGGAGTCCTAGTAATTCTAATTATTTACATATAATTCTTTTCAAGTTTTCACTGTAGATAATTATATAGTCTGAAAAAACTTAAGACACTTAATTTTTTTGTTTTGATTTGTTTTAATATTTAAACAATTTGTTTTCTGTATTTCATTTTTAAGACCTTCACCGCAGAGTTGATTACACACAATGACAGTAGAAATCTTGAGTCTTGTTCCTGATTTTTAATGGGACTGATGTTACAGTTTCACCTGGAAGAGTGGGCACTTAGCTTGGTGGTCAGACACCTGTGTCCCCTGTCGCAGGGCCTGGGTCCGGGGCTGACTCTGGCCTCTGGCTGTGCGGGCTCTGGGAGGCGGTGGGTTCCCGCCACCTACGCAGCAGGCCTGCATTGAGTCCTTGGCTCTTGGAGTAACCCCTATGTTGTAGACACTTAGGGAGGAACCAGTGAGTGAAGTATCTGTCTACCTATCTGGTCACACATAAAAAACTTGAAAAATAGTGTTTAAAAGCAGTTTTATTTTATTTTTTCTATTTATATAGTTGAAGGATACACGCCCACGCGGGCCTCTGATTAAGGTGTGGAGGGGCAGGGTACAGAGGAACGTGCTAGGGCAAATGTTCTTTTTTTGTTGTTGTTGTTCCTTTTTCTGGTTTTGTTTTTCTCCTGTGTCCACAAAGGGAGGAGGGCTGGGGTTGCTCCTTGCTGTCAGACTGCGTCAGCACCCAGCGATGGGGGATGGTTATTCAGTAATGCCTTAGAGGCCTCAGTGTAGGGAACAAATGTTCCGAGAGTGTTAATTAAGTGGTTTTGATCATTCGGAAACACTGTCAGCTCCAATGAAAAGAATCCGTTTCATGAGGCTGGCGTTGTGGTGCAGCAGGTTAAGGCCAGTAACCCATGTGAGCACCAGTTTAGTCCTGGGTTTCTGCTTCTGATCCACTTTCCTACTCATGGCCTGGAAGAAGCAGCGGAAGATAGGCAAGAGCTTGGGCCTCTGCTACCCAAGTGGGACGCCTGGGCTCAGTCCCGGCTCCTGCTCTCAGCCCGGCCAGCCTTGCCCATGGCGGCCAGCTGGGGAGCGAAACTCTGCCTTTCAAGTAAATATTATTTTTAAACTGCACCACCAAGTTTTAGCTTTGCTGTAGATTTAGGGTAGATAGCTTTTTTAAAGTTAGAATTTTTCTTTATGCTCTTAGTTTACCAAGCAGCTTTTTTTTTTTTTAATGATGAGCACTATTTTTTTTTTTAAGATTTATTTATTTTTATTACAATGTCAGATATATAGAGAGGAAAATCTTCCATCTGCTGATTCACTCCCCAAGTGACCACAACGGCCGGTGCTGCGCCGATCCAGAGCCAGGAGCCAGGAACTTCTTCCAGGTCTCCCACGTGGGTGCAGGATCCCAAAGCATTGGGCCATCCTGGACTGCTTTCCCAGGCCACAAGCAGGGAGCTTGATGGGAAGTGGAGCTGCTGGAATTAGAACTGGCGAATGCAAGGGATACTGGTGCGTTTAAGGCCAGGACTTTAGCCACTAGGCCACGCCGCTTGGCCCTACCCAAGCAGCTTTTATCATAAATAATATTTTATCATCTTCTGTGATGATCATATGGTTTTTCTTCTTCATTGTGTCCATGCGTTGACTTACATTGATCTGTGTTCTGATGTTGAAACATCTTTCTTTATATTATTTTTTTATTTGAAAAAGATGAAATGATCTTTTTTTAAAAAAAAATGTATTTATTTTGTTTGAAAGGCAGAGTTAGAAAAGGCAAAGAAGAGAGAGATGTTTCTTTCGCTGCTTCACTCTGCAAATGGCCACAACGGCCAGGGCTAGAATAGGCTGAAGTCAGGAGGCTGACACTCCATGCCGATCTCCCAGGGGGCTGGCAGGGACCACCTGCTGCTGCATCACCAGGTACACCGCCACTTGGATCCAAGTGGAGCGACCAGGACTTGAACCAATATTCTGAAGGGATGCTGGTATCACAGGCAGCAGCTTAGCCCATTGAAATTCACAGGGCTTTTGTTTGTTTTTTTAAGATTTATTTGAAAGTGTAAGTTACAGAATAAGAGGGCGAGACAGAGATAGTCCATTGGTTTACTCCCCAGCTGGCTGCAGTGGACAGTGCTGGGCCAGGCCCAAGCCTTCTTCTCAGTCTCCCGCTTGTTTGGCAGGCAGTCAAACACTTGGGCCCGTCTCCCGCTCATGGGTTGGAAGTGGAGCTGCAGGCACACAAGCCAAGCCAGTGGCCGTACTCTGCAGTTTCACCAGTTGTCTCACAATGCTGACCCTTTTTAAGAAATTCTTGAGACAGTTTTCATCACTTTTTCCTTTTAAACAAACTCTTGCATTATCTAAATGATAACATTTATTAAGTTGTTTATAATTCTACCTTAGTTTGTTTTTCAAGAAGATTCATCAGTTCATTTATTTGAAATACAGAATAACAGAGAGAGGGGGCGAAACAGAAGTTTTTGTCTAGGGGTTCATTCCCCAGATGGCCGTTACAGTCAGCTCTGGGCCAGGCCAAGGCTAGGAACCTCCACTTCCCCACCCCACACACCCCCATCCCCGGGCAGCAAGGGCCTTTTAATCACCTTCTGCCTTCCCAGCCATTAGCAGGAAGCTGGGTCCAAAGTGGAGCAGCTGGGATTTGAACTAGCACTTTGATATGAACTGCCTATCCTGCCGCACCATAGCACTGGCTCTCATCTTAATTTCTTACTGGAGATTTCGTTTTCTTTTTTCTTTTTCCTTTTCTTTTTTTAAGACTTATTGATTTATTTTTTATTGGAAAGTCAAATATGGGATCCCAGTGCCTATAAGGCGAGGATTTAGCCACTGAGTCATTGTGCCAGGCCCTGGAAATTTTTAGAACATATATTTTTCAAAAATATTTATTTGTATTAGAAAGTCAGATTTACAGAAAGAAGGAGAGACAGAGAGAAAGATCTTCTGTCTGCTGTTTCACTACCCAAGTAGCCGCATTGGCCAAAGCTGAGCCGATCCAAAGCCAGGAGCCAGAAGCTTCTTCTGGGTCTCCCACGTTAATGCAGGGTTCCAAGGCTTTGGGCCTTCCTAGTCCACTTCTCCAGGTCTCAAGCAGGGAGCTGGAAGGGAAGTGGAACAGCTGGAAATTGAATTGAACTGAACCGGCACCCATATGGGATCCCAGCGTATGTAAGAGGAGGACTTTAGCTGCCAGGCTATTGTGCTGGGCCCTGTAGCATTTTTTTTTTCAACCAGTGTTTGCCTTTGTTCTTCTCTTATGTGGCTTTATTTTCTATTTCATTGATCTACTCTCTCACTGCTTTCCTCCTCTTTATTCTGCTTCTTTTAAGCAGTTTGTTGGTTGGAATGAAGAGATCGTTAATTGTCATCTTTGCTCTTTCCCTGTCTAATTTTTAAGGCTGCAAATTTCACTCAAAGTGTCACTTAGCTGCATTCCAAAAGATTTTAAACTTCCTTCAGATGCAATTTACATGACATAAAACCCACTCTTCTTGAATTTAAAATTCATTGATTTTTAATATAATTGAGGAGTTGTGTAATCACTTAGCAGTCCAAATTTTAGACAATTTCCTTGGTACCTGCAGGAAACCTCCTGTGCAGTTGCAGGCATTTTCCGTTATTCCCCCTTCCCTAGGCAGCCAGAAATCTACTTCTTGCCTTTTTAGATTTACTTTTTCTGCACATTTCCTTTCATTGTGATTTTAAAATTGTGATCATAGAAAATGCAGTTGGTTATGTCTTTCTTAGACTTAATGGTTTGACATTTGTCCATGTTGGAGCACGCACCAGTAACTCACTCCTCTTTATTGTTCAGGGAAGCGCAGTGTTTTCATTACTGTTCAGACAGAAGTATTCTCTAATGTGTGTTAGGATTTCTTTTATCCTTAAGTTATTTCTCTGAGGATACCACATTTGCAGATTCACGGGGTTTTAGATGTTTCTCTTTGACATATTGGTATCTTTTTTTTTTTTTAAGATTTATTTATTTTTATTGCAAAGTCAGGTATACAGAGAGGAGAGACAGAGAGGAAAATCTTCCATGCATTGACTCACTCCCCAAGTGACCACAACAGCCGGTGCTGCGCCTATCTGAAGCCAGGAGCCAGGAGCTTCTTCCAGGTCTCTCACGTGGATGCAGGGTCCCAAGGCTTTAGGCCGTCCTGGACTGCTTTCCCAGGCCACAAGCAATGAGCTGCATGGGAAGCAGAGCTGCTGGGATTAGAACCGGCGCATGCAAGGGATCCTGGTGTGTTTAAGGCGAGGACTTTAGCTGCACACGAGCAGGTTCTGCTCTTTCCATTCACATTGTCCCAGTGGACTTGACTGTTTTGTGCTGTTTACATAGCCCAGCAGTCTCAGTTGGGGCTTGCTTTCTTTCTAGTGGAAACCATGATATTCTAAGCTTGTCAGATGCATTTTTCTCAAGCTTGGGCATGGCCACTTCCAAGGAGATCTGATGTCGTTCAGTGAGAATGCATACAACATAGACGGTTGTCACTTAACAAGTCATCGGGACTTGTCACAGTAACATCATGGAGTACACTTTCAAACTGAGGAGTTGCGCTACTGAGACGATGCAGTCCAAGGGGCCACTGTAATATAGTTATGGTGATTATTGCATTATTATATGGTCCACAGCTGTATACTTTGTCTTATGGACAATGACCGTTATTAGTAATAGCATTTTTTCCTCTAGTTTAAGACTTTTTCCCCCAGCTTTTGTTGTTCTTAGACGTATCCAATAAGAGGTGTGCAGAACACATGCCTTGATTGAAGTCATTTGAAATCATTCTCCCCTGAGGGTTCAGCCAGTTTGACTTATAGTTAAATTCACTTATTCTGGTTTATTTTTAATGTTTGGCATACTACTTGAGTCTTTTCGAATTTGGTTTGTATTTCTGCTAAGTAAAACATTAAAATAGTTCCATGCTTAAAATTGGGCAGTAGTGTACAAGGTGTAGCTCCATCCTCATCCTAGGCCTTCTTCCTGTATTACTTCCTGTGGCTACTTTTACAGGTTGTTACACATCTAGTGGCTTGAAGTATTGCTGTTGTATTATCTTACAGCACAAGTCTCAGTAGTCTAAAACCATTGGGTTACTGACAAAACAACCCTCTAAGTCAGTGATTCAGTGATTGGACCGAGAGACAGGTGGGAGGGTACTGCTGAGTCAAACCCATGCCCTCCGGTGACCTGACGCTACTCCCTGCTGATGGCCTGGGAGAAGCAGCAGAAGATGGCATCCAAGTGCTTGGGCCCCTGCCACCCATGTGGCTACCCCCATGGAACATCTGGCTTTGGCCTTGCTGAGCCTCTGGCCATTGTGGCCACCAGCAGATGGAAGATCTCTCTCTCTCCTTTTCTCTGTGTACCTCTGACTTTCTTTTTTTTTTTTTTTTTAACAGTGAATAGTAATGAGACAGCAACAAATAAACAAAAGGTGTGCCTATAGTCGATTAAAGTGCTCATGTCCTTTAAAGATCTTTAGTGACCGGCAACCTTCCAATGGCAATGAGCCTTCACTGAACAATATTCCTGTCCTGCTCTAGCGATTTACACTTGGTGTTGCATCTAACTCTTGTGACAAGCTCAGGACACACGTCCTGCTCTTCTTTTGTCTTTCCCACTGAAGAACCTAGGCCAAGGAAGGTTGGTGAAGGTTACAGAGCTGGTCGGGGGGGAGTGGCTCAGGGAGACTGTTCTGTCCCTGCATGCCTGCTGTGTGGGAACTGGCTGGCCTGTGCACAAAACTCTGTCCTCTTCAGCGCTGCAGGTTGCCAGTCTGTCTTTGGCACCTGCTCTCAGTAGGTGGGTAATGTGGGGACCAGTCTTATGGTTGTCTTTACTCATGCGTGTGGACTCAGGGTCACCCCGGGATGTTTGCTGCCCTGATGGCACAACTTGCTGCCCTCTGTTCTCAGTTTCTGTTCCAGCAGCTGGGGATGTTGGTGTCGTTTGTGAAGAGTCACATCAGACCGTACATGGATGAAATCGTCACCCTCATGAGGGTGAGTACGTGCAGGTGCTCCAGCCTGCTGCTCCTTGGGAGGACCGAGGGAAGCCCTGAAACAGGTTTGGGTAATGCAGACATGCTCCCGCAGATCATTCTAGAGCTATTGCAGCACAGGGATAGAAGGTGACTTGTGGCAGCACGCCAGATTTTGAGGAAGTGGAAGAGATATTGCTCTTGGCTCCTAGTGCAGAGCACAGCCTGTGAAGTCTGGAGTAATTGTCCTGACAGCAATAGACTTGCTAGTGATTTGCCTCATATAGAACCAACTTGGATGTCACAACAGTGCTTTTCTGTTTGCATACAACGTCCTCTTCCTCACTCCGCCTAACAGCATGGCCTGCAGAGGAGCCTGGGGCTTGTGCTGCTCAGGAGCTGTTAGATGGGGACTGAGGAACAAGGTGTGTTCCCTCTGCAAGCGTAACTGTCACCTTGAGATTGCAGTAGCACGTGAGAAAAGGCACAGACCCCCAGGTTTTACCGCACGCAGCCGGCAGGTGCCAGGAGCCGCCCTGTTCATGGCGTTGTTTTCCCTGCTCTCCTAAATCACTTAACTAACAGTGTTGGGAAGGTTGCTTTGTAGAGAGCTGTGTCCTCAGGGACTTGGAAGATGGACTCTGTGCTCCTGTCCCAGACCTTTGCAGGTCACAGCTGACCCAAGTTAAAATGTCTGTCTCCCCGATGGAGTGTTCCGACACCCGGGCCTAGAGCAGCGAACTCTGGCCTGTGTGAATCATTAAAGACTGCACTGTTGCCACTCCTTGCACAGGGATGTCTGTTCCGGGTAGAGCTGAGCAGACTGCTAGACTCAGGTGGATGGTCTCTGTGGGAAGGGGTGAGGGTGAAGCAGTACACTCGCAGTAGGAAAAGGAGGGAATCTGACTTATTCTCCAAAAGACACATGTGCCCGAAGCTCAGGGATTTGAGGCAGGGAGCCCCAAACCTGCAAAACACAGCTCCTGCTTCATCACACACAGAGCCAGTGTGGCAGGGGCCCCTGTTGGCCCCGAGCCTGGGTAGAGGGGAGTCTTTGTGAACGGTGGTCCCGTGCCGTGAGGGGCAGGCAGGTCCAGATGCTCACAGTTGTGAAGTAGCTGAAATTTCTCGCAGGAAGGCAGAGTAGATACAAAGGAGTGGATCTGAGGCAGGTTTGGGGTGCCATCAGATCCGTGGGGTCTCTTGCCCACAGTTTTCATTCAGCAGACCAGAGAATGCTTCTCTTCATGCACAGAGAAGCCACGTTTTCCCTGCATCTTCCAGTATGGTTTACTTTCTGACCTGTAACTCTTTGAAAACTCTTACTTGAATGGCTAGAATATTCCAGGTGCTGGGCTAAGATTGTGCAAAGACAAATGGGTTGGTGAGGTTTCTTCAAACAGCTTTTAAACAGCGTATAACTTAGAAGAAGGTTGACAAAGTATTCCGATGTAAAGACACCTGCGTGGAAGTGAGAAGAAATGATGGGTTTAACCGAACCAATAATGGGACTCTGCAAAAAGATAACATGAGCAAATCCAGGAAAATGAGGGTGCCTGGTGTGTCTGGGGAAGCTTGGGCTGATTGGTTCAGTGTGGCCAGGACACAGGATGCCTAGAGAGCAGTGGGGGAATGCGGGCGGAGTTCGAGGGCAGAGAGTGCCCACCGTGTCTCTGTGTCTTTTGGCCTTCCCCATTGCTTGGTTCCCTGTCAGCAGATGTGTGCCTGTCGGCCCTTCTTTGCAGGAATTCTGGGTCATGAACACTCCGATCCAGAGCACCATCATCCTGCTCATTGAGCAGATCGTGGTCGCTCTCGGGGGCGAGTTTAAGCTCTACCTGCCCCAGCTGATCCCACACATGTTGCGTGTCTTCATGCATGACAACAGCCAAGGCCGCATCGTCTCCATCAAGGTGAGTACCCTGGGGCAGTTTCCAGAGATTGCCAGCTTCCCATCCTGCCCCCGCACCCCACTGGGAAGATGTGGCACCCTGTTGTGACCTGTTAATGCCTGTGGTGTGAAACCGAATCCCAAGGGTGCTAAGAACTTGTGCTTGTGATCTACAGTGGGGAGTGCTAGTGATGGTCTCAGTTAGTGGATTGTTCTTGATAGATGGTTAATCCCAGGCAAAATTTCTCTATTAGCCAATAACTGCTCCTTTATCTGTTGAGACAAGAACAGAAAAGACAGTGTATGTAAACAAAGGACAAGAGAAAAGGGGCTACCAAAGGAATGTCGTTGAGAGTCCCTTGATACGGACTTTCCAGAATCCCTGTGGGATTTGACTTACCCATCCGCTGCCGCCTCTGTGTCCTTAGAGCCCTGATAGCCAGTGGCAAGTGATCCTCACCACTTTTCCACTCTTTTGCAGCTGTTGGCAGCAATCCAGTTGTTCGGAGCCAACCTAGATGATTATCTGCATTTGTTGCTGCCGCCTATTGTGAAGCTCTTTGATGCCCCAGAAGTTCCACTAGCATCTCGGAAGTAAGCACTTGCCTTTGAAATTAAAAATAATTTTGCTTTAAAAATGTCCTTAAATTCTTAAGCTGTCTTGCTATTTTTTTTTTTTTTATTCCCACTCCTGTTGTTTTAGTGTAGAACTATGCCAGGTTTATGGAAATCTTAACTGTCTCTCTTCTGCTGGAAAATATATTGGACCCATATCACCCAAAATACCTCTGAAGTCATTCCTTCAGGGTCTGTCCCTTACAGGTGGTATGTTTGCCATGCCTGTATGTCACCAATCGTTGTAGGGCAGCCTTAGAAACAGTGGACCGCCTGACGGAGTCCCTGGATTTCACTGACTATGCCTCCCGGATTATTCACCCGATTGTCCGCACGCTGGACCAGAGCCCAGATCTGCGTCCCACGGCCATGGACACGCTGTCCTCGCTTGTCTTTCAGCTGGGGAAGAAGGTAATACATGAGTCCCGAACAACAGATGCTTTTCTGCCTTGTGTGGGAAGACGACTGTGTGAGCTTCTCCATTTGTTGGTCAGTAGGCCTCAACTACCGTTAGAACAATTACTTGCCTCCCCAACCCCTTCATTTGTTCAGCAAATAGTTATGGATCTCTGGGTAAGTGCTGTCCTGGGGATACCACAGTCAGCTGAATAAAGCCCTTACACTCCAGTGAAGCAAAGCACAGAGACACATTCTGTCTCGCAAGAATGATGGGTGTTGGGGGTGCATAGCATGGTGCAGCAGGTTCAGCTAGAGCTTGGGGTGCCTGTACTCCATTTCTCAGTGCACGCTTGAGTCCCGATTTGAGTCCCGGCTCCCCCACTTCTAGTTCATCTTCTAGCTAATTGGCCTGAAAAGGCAGCAAATGATGGCTCATATGCTTGGGATTCCTGCCACCGACATGGAAGACCCAGATAGAGTTCTGGCCTCCTGGCTTTGACTTGGTCCAGCCTAGACTGTTGCAGGGGTGTTTGGAGAGTGAGCCAACAGGTGGGAGCCAGCTCTGTATTTCTTGACCTCTCTTACATCACTTTGCTTTTCAAAGAGATGAACATATAAACCTTCCAAGAGAAAAGAAGGAATGATAAGTGGATGTGGGGAACAATATTGTTTTTAGAATGAACCAGAAAGACTTTCTGGTTAACTAATGTTTGAACAAAAATCTACATGCTGCTATCCCAAGAGTAGATTCAGATTGAAGGCAGAGCGAATGCAAAGCCATAGGTGACAGCGTGTGGAAGGAATTCCAGGCCCAGTAGGAGAGCAGAACAGAGGCCTTGAATGAACAAAAGGAAAAATTCTTAGAGCTAAGATCTTCAAATGAGTTAGGGGGGAGCTAGCTCTGGTAAGGCAGTGGATCTCAGAATGTGATCCCACAATGCCAGCTTCCCAAATGAGCTCCAGTTTGAGTCCCAACTGCTCTACTTCTGCTTCAACTCCTATAATGTGCCTGGGAAGGCAGTGGAAGATAGTCCAAGTGCTTGGGCTTCTGACAGCCTGTGGGAGACCTGGAGTTCCTGGCTCCTTACTTTGGCTTGGTCCAGCCCCTGCCATTGTGGCCATGTGGGATATGAACCAGTACATGGAAGATCTCTTGCTGTATGCCTTTTTGTCTCTCTCCGTAACTTTGACTTTCAAGCAACAAACAAGCAAACAAACAAAAAAAAACCTTTTAAAGCAGAAGGGAAAACTCTGATTCTCACAAAACAAGATCTCAGGCCTCACCTCAAGCCTGCTGAGTCAGCAGCTGGAGCTGGAGCTTGGCCCACTTCCCAAGCCTCTAGATGATTCTCATGTTAAAATGGTCCCTGTTTGGGGCCATTGTGAGTACTTTGGCTTTTACTCTGAGCAGGACTGGAAGACTTCAGAGGATTGGAGCTCAGGAAAAATGATAAGACTTTTAAAGTGATAACTCTCTGTGCTGTGACAAGGTATAAGCTATGAGGGCAAGAGTGGAAAGAGACCTTTACAAGGCGGCCAGCATGTAGAACCTGATGGAGACTTGGACGAGGATTGTAGCAGAGGGGGATAAAATAGAATTCTTCAGAAGAGGCACCTGTGACGTCAATGTGGCGATACCCTCGCCGCCACTCTCCACTCTCTAGAACAGTGGTTTCTGATCTCTTCCCTTTCCTGTTCCAGTACCAGATTTTCATTCCAATGGTGAACAAAGTTCTGGTGCGACACCGAATCAACCACCAGCGCTACGATGTGCTCATCTGCAGAATCCTCAAGGTGAGGTGCCCCTCCTGCAAGTGCCACGCTGTCTCCCGCTCTGCGTTCTTGTTACATCCGTGGAGTGTGCATAGCTCTTGGCCTGGAGTGGGGATGGCCAGAGGAGTTTTGTTTTTCGTTTTGTTTTGTATTTGGGCTTTGTAGGCACGTGGTCTCTGTTGCAGCCCCAAGGCAGCTACACAAAAGACTAATCAAGTGCACCTGGTTGTATGCCATACCACTCATCTGTGAACCCAAAGCTGGCGTTCTCTTGCAGCCTTCGTGTGCTGTGAAATATGCATTAGCATTTGATTTTTGTTTCCCAACCATTTCAGAAACAAGTGGTGGACCGTTTGCCTCCTTTGCTCTGAAAGCTTCATCATTTTTAGCGAGGATCTCAGTTCAGTCACCTTCGCCCGTTGCCAGGTTGCCTGTTCCCCGTCCTCAGGCGGTGCTTGTCACCATCCTGGTGTGACCAGCAGGGTCTGATCTGTAGTGGGGAATTTACCCATCTGAAGCTTAGGCTTGCTTTCTGCTATTAGCTTTTTACTGTTTGTTGAAATTTTAACTGTTCCACAAGGTCTGACTTTCCCCATGCTTATGGATAATTTCCAAAGTGGAAGCAGCTGGTGGCTACAGGTGTTTTCTGCACACAGGGATACACCCTTGCCGATGAAGAAGATGACCCCTTGATTTATCAACATCGGATGCTGAGGAGTGGCCAAGGGGATGCGTTGGCTAGTGGACCAGTAGAAACAGGACCCATGAAGAAACTACACGTTAGCACCATCAACCTCCAAAAGGCAAGTCCGTGATTACCAGGGCTGGGGAAGCAGAATGCTGCTCTTCTTTCTCGTCAAAAAAATGTCAGCCTTTACCATGTTCAATTTAATCCCAGCGGAAACTAGCCTGAGCATTTCCCCAGAAATCTAGATACACGAGAATGTGATGATTCTGAATTCTTCTGAATTGTGATTTTATTTTTAGTGGAGGAAAGGATGAGAACAGGTATGTTTTTGTGTTTCTTTGAAACATTGATAATAGAACCTTCTGTTGCAGGTGCCATTTTCAGTTTTCACATGTACAAAGCAGAGCTGGCGTACTCCCTCATGAGCACTGGCACTGACGTGGGATCCTAACAGCATTGCCTTCCAAGCTTCTCAGACTCATTGGCCTGCCAGTTGCTGGATATCTGGTTAAGATGTTGGATCCTCCATCTGTTAGTGAGCGCAGGAGTCGGGGCTGGGCCAGGTTAAAGCCAGAACCAGGAACTCTGCCCTGGTCTCCCATGTGGGTGGCAGTGGCCCAAGCGCTTGGGGTCATCATCCATTGCTTTCCCAGGCACATTAGCAGAAAGCTGGAGTAGAAAGCTGGCACTCCAACATGGAATGCTGGGATGGCAGACAGTGGCTTAAACAGCTGCATCACAATAGTGACACCTAAAATGCACATTCTGGTGCAGGCCTGGTACTCTGCATTTTCAAAAAAAGTTATTTATTTGAAAAGCACAAAAACAAACAAACAAAAAGATCTTCCATTGTTTGGTTCACTTCATAAATGGCCACAACAGGCCAGGTAAGCTGAAGCTAGGAGTCAAGAATTCTATCTAGGTCTCCCATGCAGGTGGCCAGGGACCAAGCACTTGTGCCATCTCCTTCTGCTTTCCAGGTGCTTGAAACAGGAGCTGGGTCAGAAGAGGAGCAGCCAGGACTCGAACCGGCACTCACATGAGATGCCGGCATCAAAGACAGCGGTTTAACCCAGTATGCTACTTTGCCAGTCCTGATGACTTTGCATTTCTGACCAGTTGTCAGCTGCTGTGGCATTGCTGGTTCAGGGCCCAAAATATGAGTAGCGGGGTTTTAGATGTTTTCAAGCAAGCAGGGAATTGTCTCTGCTGACGAAGCCTGGCCTTTTCATGAATATGCCACTAGCCATTCGTCTGAAACAGGCAGTTAGCTGGTGAACCTAAACAGAATAACCATAGTTGCCTCACTGATTGTTAAGTAAATTTATCAGGTTTCTTATTTTCCATGAAGCAGTTTCCAGTTTGGGTCCAACATAGGGTTAGCCTTCATTTATTCATCGCTGACTTATGACAGCTGTACGTCCTGTGTCACACGGTGGCCGAAGGTAGAGAAGTGGGCAGTACTGTCCAGCTGAGTTGTTGTGTTCTTTCATGCAGGCTTGTAATAGTCTGAACACAGCCGTGTGTGTGTGTGTGTGTGCACGCACACACCCACTGCCAGAACGGAGGGATCTGTCACTGTCTGTTCCGACAGGGTGTTTCCCTGGAGGAGCCATGTGCTGGTGAGCACTGCTCACAGATGTTCACTGAGGCGGAAGGGATGGAAGCCCTTGGGTCAGGAAGGAGCTTGCTTTCTCTCTGGGGATTCCCTGACTGCTGGCCTGAGACTCCAGGAGGAAGAGCAAGGTCCTCTGTGCCTAGCACTTCCGGGCAGCTGTGGTGGTCACCCTGCTGACACCTCACACTGGAGGGAGGGCCTCGGGGAGGAGGTCAGAGGCAGACTTCCAGCCAGATGTTTCCATCCAGCTTGGGTTCAGAGTGTCCTTCCAGCCCGGCAGCTGGCCACCCTGCTTGGGAGCTTTGTCCTCTAATTTTAGGAAATTTCCCAGTAGTCTAGTTTGCATCCAGGACTTGGAAAAATAAGCATAAACTTCACCAAACAGACATCTCACCTGAGAGAACAGGTCAAGTTTAAAACTCCCAAGCAAAATCCTCCACAGCTGACTCTTGGGTCTGTTTTGTCAAAAAGTAAAGTGTGCTTTTCCAAAATCAAGCAGCAAGAATTGGTGTGTTTATTGATTTTAACCAGCTTACAGAAAGTTTTCCACTTAGTCACTGTTCTGGCAGCTTTGCTAATAGAGGATTGACATGATCCAGAAAACATGGGAACCGTCGATATGGGGGAACTTCAAGACGTGTGTGGGAAAAACAATAACAGGATGAGTTGGGGTTGGGAGTTTGACCTGGCAGTTACAGGATGCTGGTCAGTTTACCAAGTGCTAGGGCAGAGGGTCTGAGTTCGCTTCCCACTCCAGCTGCAGCTCCTGCCTGTGCGGAGCCTGGGAGGCAGCAGGAACGGCTGAGTGGCTGGGTTTGTGCCATCCACATGGGAGGGCTGGAGCGGAGGGCTGGAGCTGGGTTTCTGGCTGACAGTTTCGGCCTTAACAGAGGACGCTTGCAATGAACCTATAGGTGGGAGCAGTCTCTGTTTTGTTCTCTCTCTCTAAAGATAAGCTGATATTCATGCAAAAATGCTATAAATTCATGCATAGGTTTTGTTTTAGATACATGTATTTATTTATTTATTTGAAATTCAGAGTTACGGAGAGAAGGAAGAGACACAGAGAGATCTGCTCTCCATTTGTTAACTCCCAAATGGCTGCGTTGGCCAGGGCTGGGCCACGCTGATGCTAGGAGTTAGCACGTCCTCCGGGTCTTCTGCGTGGGTGCAGGACCTAAGCACTGGACCGTCCTCTGCTGCTTTCCCAGGTGCATTAGCAGGGAGCTGGATCAGAAGTGGAGCAGTTGGAAGTTGAACAGCACCCACTGGTTCACTCTCCAAATGCTGCAGCAGCCAGGGCTGGGCCAGAGCAAAGCCAAGAGCCTGTATTTGGAACATCCTCTGCTGCTTCCCCAAGCGTATTAGCAGAGAGCTGGACAGGAAGCTGGGAATTGTATCAGCACCCACATGGGATGCTAGCCCTGCAGGTAGAGGCTTAATCCACTGTGCCACAGCACCCTCCCCTCTCAAAACGATTTTATAGATGTGAATACAGGACATTGAAGGATTAAATAATTTGCCTAGAAGTTGGTGCTGTGGCAGAGTGGGTAAAGCCTCTGTACCCAATATGGCTGCTGATTTATGTCTCTACCACTGCACTTAAATAATTTTTTTTGTCTTTTATTTTTATTTGAAAGGCAGAATTAAAGAGAGAGAGCCTCTATTCACTGGATGGGCACAACATCCAGAGCCTGGCTGGTCTGAAGCTGGGAGCCAGAGACTTCCCATGGGTTTCCCACATGGATTCAGGGGCCCAAGTACTTGAGCTATGCTCTACTGCCTCCACTGTCTGTTCTTATGCCTTCCCAAGCTGTAAACAAGGAGCTGGATTGGAATTGGAGCAGCTGGGAATTGAACTTTGCCTCATGGGGTGCCAGTGCTGCAGGTGGAGGATTAGCCATCTGTGTTAAAACATCAGGTGCTATTCCACTTCTGGTTTAGCTGACTGCTAATGTGCCTGAGAAACGCCACAGAAAATGGCCCAAATGCTTGCGAGACCCAGAAAAAGCTCCTAGCTCCTGACTTGGGACAGCCATTGTGGCCATCTGGCAAATGAATCAACTGATGGAAAATATTTCACTGTCTCTGTTTCTCTCTGTAATTCTGCCTTTCAAATAAATAAATCTTTTAAATATTAGTGGTAATAATTTGCCCAATGTCAATCATTATTACCCGGATTTGACATAGTCTGACTCTAGAGCCCACTTGCTTGACTACTGTGTTGAGTCGTCTGTTTACCTAGGCCAACCTCTTCTCAGGAGGAGAAAGAGAGGAGGAATACTTGCGTCAAAAGTTATGTCAACTTTCAAAGTGCTTTCAGTCACAGCGGTGCTGAGCGCAGACGTGTGCAGGGCCTGGGAACGGTCTGCGTGTTCCCGTTCTGCCATGCGAGGCTCTCAGTCCGGTCTTGGATGCTCACTGTTTGAAGCGCAGGGTTCTCGCTGTGCGGCCAGTAGCATCTTCAAGTTTGTCTCTTGTGCTGGCTCTGTTTCGGGTCTGACAGCCTTACCCACTTCACCACACAGGCCTGAAATGGGCTTTTTCCTGCTGCGGTATATACAAAGTTATTTTTGCTTTTTATGTTTTAGCTAAATATTGTTTTGTGTTTATGCTCAGAGTAATTTTTATCATGAGAGATATAATTTTATAAATCTGAAAAATAAAATAATCACTAAATAGAGAAGAGCTCTTGACAAGTGGTGCTGGAAGCTAATGACATTCCACTGTTCCCTGTGGGATTCCAGGCCTGGGGAGCTGCCAGGAGGGTCTCCAAGGATGACTGGCTGGAGTGGCTGAGACGGCTGAGCCTGGAGCTGCTGAAGGACTCCTCATCCCCCTCCCTGCGCTCATGCTGGGCGCTGGCGCAGGCCTACAACCCCATGGCCAGGTATGGTGTGCCAGGGCCCCTCCCAGTTGGCTGTTGATAAGAATGGAGAGGGTCAGTACCGAGGAAAGGATGCTTGGGAATTAATTTCCGGAAAAGATAATAGTAAAAGGGTTGGCCTTTTTGGTTTTGCTAACTCATGAGACAAAAGAAAAAGACAAGCAAGGTCATGTTAAAGGAAATGCATCTGTCATAACTTTGCACTGTAGTACATTATAGATAAATTCCTTCACTTGATGCTCCTAGTGGAAAGCTCCAGTTGTGATCTCAGGTCACAGTCAAGTTGCAATTGTACTAAAAGTGCTGCATCCGGTCTTCAGGCCGGCAGGGTAGGAGAGTATACAGTATGTTGGGTTAGGGGATAGACTTGTATCCCGTGCCTAAGCTATCTCAGTGTGTATGATCCATTTATTTGCAAATCTGAATTCTGAAACACTTTTGGTCACAAGCATTTCAGATAAGGAATATACAACCTGTAACAAAGTAACCTATTTCCAATAATAATGATATTCTAATTATTGCTGTGCTGATAAATTCCACAAAAAATAGTGGGCTAAGACAGCAGTTCTTTACTTTGTTCAGCAATCTACACTTTGGATTTGTGTGGACATCATGCTTCACTCAGAACGGATGGTGTTGGTGGCCAGAGATGCACTTTTTTTTTTTTTTTAATTTTAATTGGAAAGTCAGATATACAGAGAGGAAGATCTTCCGTCCGATCATTCACTCCCCAAGCAGCTGCAACAGCCAAAGCTGAACCGATCCATTGCCAGGAGTGTGGAACCCCTTCCGGATCTCCCACAGAGGTGCCAGGGTCCCAAGGCTTTGGGCCATCCTCGACTGCTTTCCCAGATCACAGGAAGGGAGCTGGATGGGAAGTGGGGTCACCGGGACATGAACCGGTGCCCATGTGGGATCCCGGGCATGCAAAGTAAGGAATTTAGCCGATAGGCTACCACACTCTGCCCAGATGGAGAGTACACTTCTGAGGTGGCTCACCAGCTTGCCTGGCACGCCAGGGCAGACCATCAGCTGGCAGCTGACCTTTGGCCGGAGCCTGGACCTCCTTCAGAGGCCCCATTGCCCCATGCATTTCATACTTTCTCGCAGAGGTGGCTGGGTACAAGACAGCGCTTCAAGAGCATGAAGTGCAAGTATGTGGTGTTTCTCTGACCTAACCCTGGAGGGCACATCGTGTCCCTTCTGCCATATTCTCAAAAAAGCCCGCTCAGGCTCAAGGGAGGCAGACTATGGAAGAGCATGTGGAACAGGTGACGCTGTGGCAGCCATTTTTGGAAATTAGAATCTGCAATAAAAATGACATTCTAAGGAGTAAATCTCTTTTAAAAGCCATTGAAGATTTGTTTAATAAAAATGCTTAATGCATGTGAAAGACTAAAATACAAGTAAACAAGATGGAAGGCAAAATGAATACATGGTTTCAACTATTGAAAATTATGTTTATAAAGACAAGAAAGTAATGCAACAGTGGCTATTTTTAACTGATTATTTTCTTTATACTTTTCATATTTTTCTACAATAGGTATTTATTATTTGTAATGAGTCATAAAATAGTGGCTTAATTAACAAGCAACTATTCATTAGCAAAATATTTTTTATTTATTTATTTATTTTTAAAGATTTATTTTTATTATTTTTTCATTGGAAAGGCGGATATACAGAGAGGAGAGACAGAGAGGAAGATCTTCCGTCCAATGATTCACTCCCCAAGTGAGCGCAACGGGCCGATACTATGCCGATCCGAAGCCAGGAGCCTCTTCCGGGTCTCCCACGCGGGTGCAGGTTCCCAAAACCTTGGGCCGTCCTCGACTGCTTTCCCAGGCCACAGGCAGGGAGCTGGAAGGGAAGCGGGGCTGCTGGGACTAGAACCGGCGCCCATATGGGATCCCGGGCGTGCAAGGCGAGGACCTTTAACCACTTGTGCCACCGCGCCGGGCCCGCAAAATACTTTTTAAAAATCAAGGCTTTTATTTCATTTTGACCAGTACAGCTGGTTTACTTTGTAGAGTGAACAGGAGTAGAGTTGGTCTCTAATAAGACTCTTGCTTCATTGCCATTTTTTGAATCCTATTTTTTCTTTTCAAATTGTAAGCATTTTTTTTTTTTAATTCAAGAGATATATACAAAGCTTCCATCTTCTGGTTCACTCCCCAAATACCCACAGCAGCTGAGATGTCGCTAGGATCTGAGATGGCACTCAATCTAGGAACCTCCTGCGGGTGGAGGGAGCCAGCCTCTTGAGCCAGCACCTGTTGACTCCCAGGGGCCACACTGGCAGGAAGCTGCAGATAAAATCTGGGAACCCAGATGTGAAACTTGATGTCTCAACCAACATTGTTATAGTGAGGCCAAGCTTTTTTTAATGCCCTCGGAATAGTTTCCCTGGGGCTGGCACCAAGGTGCTAAGTAGGCTAAGCCTCTGCGTATGGTACCAATATCCTGTAATGGCACAGTTTGTGTTTCAACTGCTCCACTTCCTGTTCAGTTCCCTGCTTATGGCCTGGGAAAACAGTGGAAGATGGCTCAAGTCCCTGGGCCCCCACACCCACATGGGAGACCTGGGAGAAGCTCCAGGCTCCTGGCTTTGAGCTGGCTCAGTTCCAGCCATTGTAGCTACTTGGGGAGTGAACCAGTGGATGGAATATCTCTCTCCTTCCCTGTCTTAAATCTGCCTATTGGGCCCTGCGCGGTGGCACAGTGGCTAAGGTCCTCGCCTCGCCCGCCCGGGATCCCATATGGGTGCCGGTTCTAATCCCGGCAGCCCCTCTTCACATCCAGCTCTCTGCTTTGTGGCCTGGGAAAGCAGTCAAGGACAGCCCAAGGCTTTGGGAACCTGCACCGTGTGGGAGACCCAGAAGAGTCTCCTGGCTTTGGATCGGCATAGCATTGGCCATTGCGCTCACTTGGGGAGTGAATCATCAGATGAAAGATCTTTCTCTGTCTCTCCTCTCTGTATATCAGCCTTTCCAATAAAAAATCTTTAAAAAAAATCTGCTTATAAAATAAAATGAAGATTTTCTAAAAGATAGTTTCCCTGTTTCATAATGTGCAGATTTCATACGGCACCTCTCTTGTGCCTGAGTCACCTCCAGGCACAGTGCCGTGGTACTCTTGTAGCAGATACACTTGTGTCTACCCAGTAAGTCCTAGATAAGTGTGTGGGAGTCCAGTGGACCTTTGGCCTGTAGTAGGAGGATTTATTTCTTAATTCACATAGGACTTCTTTCAGTCTTCATGTTATCCTTTGAATTCCAAGTTTTATTATGTCAATTACAACATTATTCACATTTGTCTAATTTTGCCTTTTAATGTGTAGGCATTGCATCAAATGCTAAGCCCACTTTTAGCAAATCCCATAGTTTCCAACACTTCTTTTTCCACATTCCCTGCAAAAGTGAGGGTAGGATTAAAATTAGATGCCAGAAACGGAAGATGTGTCCACCTGTGTGATGATGTGGTGGTGATGTCACCTCCGGGCCTGTTGATTGGCTTAGAGGATCTTTCAGAGTTACAGGTTTGGGTTCTGTTTGCCAATACTTTTAGTTTATGTTATCAGATTGTAATTTTTTAAAAAAGATTTGTTTGTTTGAAAGAGTTACAAAGAAAGAGGGGGAGAGAGAGAGAGATCTTCCGTCTGCTGGTTCACTCCCTGGATGGCCACAGTGGCCAGGAGTGAGCCAGACTGAAGCCAGGAACCAGGAGCTTCATCTGGGTCTCCGACCTGAATAGCAGGGGACCAAGTGCTTGGACCATCCTCTGCTGCTTTTCCCAGGTGATTAACAGGGAGCTGGATAGAAAGTGGAAAAGGCACAACAAAAAAATAGTGCCCTGATGGGATGCTGGCATTGCAGGCAGCAGCTTTACCTGCTCTGCCACAGTGCTGGCCCCCAGCCCAGGATCCTGATTATAGTTAGAAAGCAATAGCAGATCGATGATGACTGCCTCATATACATTTCTTGGGAAAGTTGAACAAAACATATGAAAACTCATAACTCATTTTCATTGTGACTGAGGTAAAAAACAGAAGCAAGGGCTGGTGCGGTGCCGTACAGGCTAGGCCTCCATCTGCAGCACCAGCATCCCATGTGAGTGCCAATTCAAGTCATCCAACTTTGATTCCAGCTCCCTGCTAATCGCCTGGGAAAGCAGTGGAGGATGGCCTAAGTCCCTGCGCCCATGTGAGACTCAGAAGTTCCCAGCTTCAGACTCGCCCTGCCGCTGATCCTGAGCTCTGACCCTTGTGGCCATTTGGGGAGTGAAGCAGCAGAATGAGGATCTCTGTCTCTCCCTCCTTTTTACCATTCCTGTAAGATACAGTGATTACTAACTATTTAGTTATTTTAGTTTCATTAAAATGAAGTTAAGGGGCCCAGCGCAGTAGCCTTGCAGCTAAAGCCCTCGCCTTGTGTGTGCCAGGATCCCATATGGGCACTGGTTCTAATCCCAGTGGCCCCGCTTCCCGTCCAGCTCTCTGCTTGTGGCCTGGGGGAGCAGTCAAGGGTTATGGAATGCTGGTATTGCAACATCCTTGGGACCCTGAATCTACATGGGAGACCTGGAAGAGGCGCTGGGCTCCTGGCTTTGGATCAGCTCAGCTCCAGCCATTGCGGCCATTTGGGGAGTGAAATCAGTGGACGGAAGATCATCTTCTCTGTCTCTCCTCTCTGTATATCTGACTTGACAATAAAAGCAAAATAAACCTTTAAAAAAAATGAAGTGTGAAATTCACTTACTCAGTTATACTGGCCTCAGTTCAAATGCTTAATGACCACTGCCTGCCCTGTTATTCCAAGAAGACAGAGACCATTCATAGCAAAGTTCAGCTGAGTGAACGAACACATGTGACTGTGACAGCAGAGGTATATCAGTGGTTTGTAATGTCTTCTCCGCCCCTCTGTACCCTCAGGGACCTCTTCAATGCTGCGTTTGTGTCCTGCTGGTCTGAACTGAATGAAGACCAGCAGGACGAGCTCATCAGAAGCATCGAGCTGGCCCTTACGTCACAAGACATCGCTGAGGTCACACAGACGCTCTTGAACTTGGCCGAGTTCATGGAACACAGTGACAAGGTAACACTTCTCCCCCGTTGTTCAGATGGAAGTTGGCAGGAAGCAGCTGGCCTGAGGAGAGGAGTGCCCGTGCGGCGCTGACTTGCCTGTGCTCCTCTGCCACTTTCCTGTGTCACATGCCTTGCTCCCCCCTAGGGCCCACTGCCTCTGAGAGATGACAATGGCATTGTCCTGCTGGGAGAGAGAGCTGCCAAGTGCCGCGCCTATGCCAAAGCACTGCACTACAAGGAGCTGGAATTCCAGAAGGGCCCCACCCCGGCCATTCTGGAGTCTCTTATCAGGTAAACCATAAACCCTTAACTGCTCTTCTTCCAGAATGAGTTCTCTTCTCCCACTGCATGGTGCTACTCTGACCTGAGTTACTTGAAGACTTTGGCCATGTGAAATCTGCCACTGGTGCTGGGCAGCGTGCTGAAATGGCATGTGCTTGCAGGTGGCTCTCCCCCGTGGTCCCGCTCTCATTGTCACTTCTGCTGACTCTTGCCACTTGGGCTTCTGTGGTCTTCCAAGCTCTGTTTTCTTGTCCTGCTGGAATCAGTAAGGAGCAGTTTTAGAGCCCAGGCAGCCTGAGAGAGAGAGGGAGGGAGATTGTGCTGTCTGGGCCGGTACAGTACACCAGCTGCTGGGCTTCCAAGGCCGGTAGGCTTTATCAGCTGAGTCTGCTGCTGTGGGAGTCCTCCTCCTTCAATTCTGTGAATATTCTCTTGAGATGGTTTACAATCTTCTGAAAATGGAAAAAATCAGTTGTTTAATAAAATTTTCCGCTAGGAAATTACAAGCAATCCAACATGTTAGCCTTAATGCCTCAAAAACTGTTCACTTCCTCTAATGATTATCAGAGATTATTAACTCTGAGATTTAATTATCTTCATGAAAATGCTAACACGGTTGGTTTCACTATGGATAATACAGGAAAAATTACCCAGCTGATAAATTGCTCTGCTGGATTTGCTACAGCCTGCTGTGTATGGAAATGCCTTCGTTTGAGAGGGTGAGCCAATAGCCATGTTTCCACTAGCTCTGCTTTTGAGTAGATGCTAAAAGCATTTGTTTATTTTCATTGGAAAGCCATATTTAAAAAATATATTTGTTTATTTTCATTGGAAAGCCATATTTATAGAGAGTAAGAGAGACAAAGATCTTCTATCCACTGGTTTATTCCCCAAATGAATGCAACGGCTAGAGCTGAGCTGATCCAAAGTCAGGAGCCTGAAGCTTCTTCTGGGTCTCCCATGAAGGGGGAACCATCCTCCACTGCTTTTCCAGGCCGTAATCAGGGAGCTCTAGAGGAAGTGGAGCAACGATCACATGGAATCCTGAAGCCTGCAATGGGAGGATTAACCAGTTGATCCATCTCACTGGGCACAGCACTGCGGCTCAGTAGCTAAATCCTTCCTTGTGTATACCAGGATCCCATATGGGAGCCAGTTCATATCCCGGCTGCTCCATTTTCCTTCCAGCTCCTTGCTTGTGGCCTGGGAAAGCAGTAGAGGATAGCCCAGAGCCTTGGGACCCTGCACCCGCATGGGAGACTTGGAGGAAGCTCCTGGCTCTTGGCTTTGGATTAGCTTAGCCCCGGCTTTTGCAGCAACTTGGGGAGTGTATCAGCAGATGGTAGATCTTTTTTCTGTGTCTCCTTCTCTCTATAAATCTGCCTTTCCAAGAAAAATAAATACATCTTTTTAAAAAAAAATGAACCATGGACCAGCGTGGTAGCCTAGTGGCTGAAGTCCTCACCTTGCATGCACCAGGATCCCATATGGGCACTTGTTCATGTCCCAGCATCCCTGCTTCCCATCCAGCTCCCTGCTTGTGGCCTGGGAAGGCAGTCGAGGATGGCCCAAAGCCTTGGGACCCTGCACCCGCATAGGAGACTTAGAGAAAGCTCCTGGCTCCTGCCTTCAGATCATCTCAGCTCTGGCGATTGCAGCCACTTGGGGAGTAAATCAGCAGACGGAAGATGTTTCTCTCTGTCTCTCCTCCTCTGTATACCTGTCTGCCTTTCCAACAAAAATAAATAAATCTGTAAAAAAAAAAAGTGAACCAAAGGGTAGAAACAGAATCATATTATAGCTTGAATAAATTGGACTTTGAGAGAAATTATTAGTTTCTAAAATATTGTGATAGAGGGTGTTTGACCCTGCTTGTGACCCCCACATCCTAAACTGGAGAGCCTGGGCTTGAGTCCTGTGCCCCTAATTCCACTTCCTGCCCATGCATACCTTGGGGAGCAGCACACGGTGTCTCGGGTGGTTGACTCCCTGCCATACATGTTGGAGACCTGGGCCGAGTGCCGGAGACCAGGGCCAGGTGCCCGAGACCTGGGCCGGGTGCCGGAGACCTGGGCCGGGTGCCAGAGACCTGGGCCGGGTGCCGGAGACCGGGGCTGGGTGCCCGACTCCTGGCTCCAGCTACTGTGAGCATTTAGTGAGGAACTTTCCATCTTTCTGTCTATCTACCTTTCACATAAGATGAAAAATACCAGTTGGGAGCAGTTATAAACATGCCATTGTCTGAAACTTGGTCCTGTTTCAAATTAGGAACAGGATACATCCATGCAATTGTGCCCTTTCTCCTCGCCTGTGCAACTTTGGTGACGCAGTCTGATTTGCTATCCAGTGGCGGCTCTGGCAGTCAGTGTCAGATAGCTGCTTTTACACATCATTTCCCTGGTAACGTTCTCCATTTGAGTCCTACCTTTTGTAACTCCTGATTTTTTTTCCTCCCCTATTTGAGAGTGTTCTAGTTATTGCAGATTTATAGTAGAACCAGGGGCCTAGAAAGTGTTCAGAAAAGGTCATTTAGCTTCTTGAGCCTGTTATAATTGACAGTAGAGCCTCGGAAACCCTGCAGGTTGATCTTGACCGCCCCCCCTTAGCTGTGTTCCGAGGGTCCCGCGCCCTAGGCCTGGTGGTGCCGTCAGCGGCTTAGCTCAGCGTGCCCTTCTAGCCCACTTCACTTTTGTGGCTTCCCACACCAGTGGCAGCTTTGCCTCATGATGTTCTAGGGCTGCTTGTCCTACGTACCGCTGTGTTACTGCAGAAAGGCAGTGGTGGTGGTTTAAGATTTGTTTACTATTTATTTGAAAGGGAGAACAACAGAGGTCGAGGAAGGGAAAGACGCAGAGAAAAGTCCCCCATTAAGCTGTTCACTCCCTAAATGTTCACATTGGCTGGGGCTGGGCCAGATCAAAGCCAGGTGCTTGGAACTCCATCCCGGGGTGGGGGGATGGCAGAGCAGCCAGACTTGAACTGGCACTCTGACGTGGGATATTGGTGTCACACACACAGCTGCCTTATGTACTGTGTGGCAGTACTGGCCCCCAGAGGAAGTGTTAAAAAGGTCAGCTCCAACAAATGCGCTTTTAAGGAGCCAATTTCCAGGACTGTCCTGCAGGAACCCCCTGGAAATTCCTTCCAGGGGCCAGACCACTGGTGCTCATGTCCCTAGGCCACCACTTCGGTCCAGTTTTGAAGTTGCCATTCAGTAACAGATGGAATTCTCTTCCTCAGTATCGGCAACTGGGGATCTTGAGGCTAACCTCCTGGCCCCGCTCTCAAATTTCGGGTGCCTCACCTATGTTGAGCTAGAAGCCCCACCCCTTATTTTTTCTATTCTTTTGTTACCCTTAACCAATTTGTCCACTTTATTTTTTAAAGAAATTATGGTAATATATATGCAGTTGTCCCATGTATCTGCTCTGAGTCGGTCCCCCCAGACACTGTGCTCAGGTCCCTGGTGTAGAATGGCACGGGGTTTGTGTAAATCTGTACACAGCCTCCTCTATATTTGACATCATCTCCAGGTTGTAAGTGCTGTGCAGACAGTTCCTGTACTGTCATGTTTAGACAATAATTATATTAAAAGAAGAATCTGCACATGCTTGCAGATCCCAGTATGGAGCCAACTGCCTTAAAAGCTTTCTGAGGCAATCAGGGGGATCGTACACGGCTGTTCTTTATGTTTTGCCCTGGAAAGTTGTGCTCTGCTGACACTGTGGTTCTCTTGCTGCTGGCGTAGCCTCTAAGTGTGGCTGGGTGTGGCCTTACTACCTCTGCCCAGCACAGACAATCCTCTGTGTGAGCCCCAAAGGAGGGCTTCCCATGGAGTCGGTGTGAATGACTCCAGCTCCACAGAGCTCCACACATTTGTCAGTAAGATTGAAAAGGCAGTTGGTTATAGAAAACACACACACGAAGACAACTTGTGGGTCTTTTGCTTGGTTGCCCAGAACATGAGGACAAGGTCTGCTGGCCTTCCTGTCTCCTGCCAAGGAGCTACTCAGGGCTAGATGGCCTTCAATGCCCAGCTTTGAAATCCTCTTTTGAAAACTGTTTCTGATTGTGACATTTGCAAAATCTAAAAGACAAGCAGAGATGGGAGGGAGTGGGTATTTGGCTCAGCGGTTAGGCCGTATTTAGGGAGCCATTGTTATCTTACGAACTTGGGCCCTAAGTTCAAGATCCTTTCATTTCCTACTTCCCGTTTCAGCTTTTTAATTGTATATTCAGGAAGCAACAGATGATGGCGCAGGTCCTTGGGTCCCTCCACCGGCAAATGAGACCTGAACCGAGCTGGTAGCTTTAGCCTGGCCCAGCATTAGCTGTTGCAGGATTTGAGGAGCAAATCGTGGAGGGCGTGTCTCCGTCTCAGTCTGCCTTTCAAATGAATTTTAGAAACAAAGTATCAGCCGGTGTTCTTGTCAGGCTGATTCTTCCAAGTCTTCGTGAAGGAACCTACCTTCTTAGTGTAGTTTAAAATGTCTGAGAGATCTGAGCATTCGTAACCTTCAGGAGCCACACCAAGCTCTCCTCTCCGTTCCTGATCATCCTGTCTGCTTCCAGGCAGAGACCACATGCCACTGTCGTCTCTCAGTCCTTGCTGTCCACATCCAGTGGCCCTGAGCAGGTGCTGTGGAAATGTGTCACCTCTCTCTTAGAATACCTAATACCGAGCAAATGCTGTGGCAATGCTAGTTATACTCTATCGTTGAGGGACGAGGGAAAAAAAAGTTTTTGCAATACAGAGGCCGTTTCTCCCCCCATACAGAATTCTCATTTCATGACTGGTTCATCTGTAGGTGCAGGCTCGACCCACACAGCTGCCGGGAAGTGGGTGTGGGGTGTTCTGTATGTCCCCTGGCAGCCGCTCTCCCTTGGCCCTCTGCCCCTCTCTCTCTAGAAGTTTTTCCTCAGACAGGAAGGAAACCAGAGGCTGACTTCAAAGCCTTGGATTGTCCTGGTTGCAAAGTAGATAGGAAATGAGAGGGAGTGTAGTGACTGCATTCAGCAGAGAGTCTTGATTCATTCTTCCTGCTGGCATGATCTGAGCGCCTCCGCTCCTCCTCCTCCTGGAGATGCTTGTTTCAGTGTCTGTCCGTGGGGAGCCCCGTGCCAGGCAGTCCTTCTGTACCAACTTGGTTCCTTTGAAAGTTCCCCAGGTTCTTGTTTTAAAGATGAGATGGTTTCCCATCAGTGGAGGGGATATTGGGTACACGGAGAATATTGGCCAAGAATACTGGCTCATCTGACCTGACTGGCTCCTGTCAATAACAGGAGTGATTGTTTGGGAAATATTTTGAAACCAGATGGTGTCCATGGGCTCCAGGGGTAGGTGAGGTGGCCCAGGATCCAGCCCCACTCTGGGGGTCCTGGCTTCTTTTACCGTTGCTATTTATCTCCAAATCCCTGCTCCTCCACCCTGGCTCTGTCACTGCTTAGCCTCTGGTTTTCTAGCTTGGACTTGAACCTTGTTCAAAGTGGTTATGTAAGAAATGAGAAGGAGATCCACAGGTTTTGAAGGGGTTTAAAAAGGATGAAAGGGGGGCCTGGCACAGTAGCCTAGTGTCTAAAATCCTCACCTTGCAAGCTCCAGAATCCCATACAGGTGCTGGTTTGTATCCTGTCTGCTCCACTTCCCTTGTGGTCTGGGAAAGCAGTGGAGGATGCGCCAAAGCCAAGGGACCCTGCAACTGCATGGGAGACCGGAGGGAACTCCTGACTTTGGCTTGGCTCGGCTCTGGCTGTTGCTACCACTTGGGAAGTGAACCAGGAGGTGGAAGATCTTTCTCTTTGTCTCTCCTATCTGTAAATCTGATTTTCTAATGAAAATGCGTGAATACATAAATCTTTAAAAAGATAGAAAAGAAACTTTGTTTAAAACCCAAACTAGAATATTTTATTTTTACTAAGCATGACGCTTATATACAGCATGGATTTATAACCATAGTAGTTTTGATACCTGTGTTTTTCAGTTATTTTTTTTTATCAACAACATTTCTTACAAAGTAAATAAAAATAGATATATCTAAATGGACCATGAATATTTGAAGGCAGTTTGGGGCAGGTGACCAGGAGGGACTGTCCTTAACTCCCACTGGTGTCCTAGGTCCTCTCAGTGGCAGAGGCGGGCACCGAGCGGGCAGCAGAGGCGGGCACCGAGCGGGGAGCAGAGGGGGCGCCGAGGTGGAGCCAGGGTCTGGCTGCTCGGCCCAGGACTGTAGAGGCTCCCAGCGAGTCCAGCCTGGGCCACTGCATTCCATTTAACGCTGTGTTTCACAAAGCTGTGTGGAGTGATTTAAAAGAAGGAACGTGGCCTCCTCCACCACCCTCTTCCACTCCTTTCCCCTGACACTCAGACCTCTCCTATGAGAATCAAAATAATGTCATTTTTTAGTGAAGGAATTTGGGTTTTGCCCTTACATAGCCTAAGCAGTCTCACAGCTTTTTCCTCCAGACAGCCACTGTGGAAAAGACAACGTTAGTTAAGTTAGGGGTCACAGGCCAAGCGATCCCACTCGGGTCAGTCTCTTGAGAAGCACTGGGCGGGACCCGTTGGGGGAAGCACTGCGTGTGTGGACCACCACATCTGTGCGCGTACAACTGTGTTGACTGACTGTCATTGGAGATTCTAAGCCCTGCCCCCCCACGCTCCCTTCCTGTCCTTCACCTTCGTGCCTCTCCTTGTGTTTAGGGTTCTGAAGCCCTGCTCCACGGCAGTTTCCATTCAAGGCTTAAAGTCTTCCGGGCGAATTTTCATCTCCACCCGCTTGAGGGAGTAACTGGCTCCATGCCAGCCATACCAGGTGATGCCATCCAGGTGCTTGTCATGCTCTCCCTGGCGGTAGTAGACCCCGTTGAGGTTGGAGTCTGTGCAGCAGTTGTACCAGTATCCACCTGGTGCAAGAGACAGAGCAGGGTTCAGCAGCAGAACACAGCACTCTCCCCACAGAAACAGGCAACATAGTATATATCCGGTCATGATTTTAAGCAGGAAGAAAGAAAATTTAGAGCCTGTATCAAAAAGATTAGCCATACCAGAGCATGGCACAGTCACACATTCACCTTCTCAGGTGAGACCGTGCGCTTGTCCTGACCCTTCCCCAGCTCCCCAGAGCTCACCTTTGCGCAGCTGTGCACACTTGTCCAGGCAGTTGTCGTTGTCCTTGTCCTTGGTGCTGAAGGCTGTGTTGTTATGATAGTAGAGGGCATCATTGCCCGCATTGCCACTGTAGTTGCCCAGGAAGAGGCGATAGCTGTTGAGCTCATTGCTCAGGACGAAGTGGCTGTACTCTGCATAACGCACAGTGCCCTCCCAGTCCTGTTGGGAGGAGCAGAGTCTTAGGCTGCGGCAGCAGGGCACTGCTGCATTTTCTATAGTCCTTCTCTTGCCCTGAAAGTAGGATTTCATTCCTTGTTTACCTCTAGTTTACCAGGCTAACCCAGGTCTAGGTCAAAGCTGCTTCTAGACACCATCTGGCCTTAATTGATCCTCATTCTCATTGATCTCTCTTGTCTGAAAGGAGGGGAGGTAGGTGTGTGTTGCTGCTCAATTTTGTTCAGAGATGTAGAGGCACAGGGACTACTTGAAGATCTCTTATAAGGTTTGCTAGTCAGTACCTATAGACTGGTACCTCAAGGACCCCATGCCCCAGGTCAGAGTGGAGGCACTGGTGTTTCAGCCCAGCTCTGTGATGGGCTCTGCTCTGGCCTGGGCCTGTCCACCTCTGTGCCATCTACAGTCCACTTGGGTGGAAAAAATAGGATAAGAATTGCTATTGTTAAGCTGTGCAGGAGAATCCTAGTAACCTCCCATCTGCAGTGACTGAGACCTCAGGTGGCACCTGCAGCAGTGCACACTCGTGTGTGGCAGCTCTGGGCCAGGCCCAGGGTCTCCAGCCTCAAACTCACCTCCATTTCCACACGAAGCCGGGTTGGCTGTCTAGAGAGCCGGTGGATATGTTCATTCCCCAGCCAGAAGTCCCCACGGATGCTGCCAAAACCTTGCTTATACTGCTTCCAGTCGCGGTAGAAGGAGACCAGGCCACTCTTGCGCCTCTGGATGAGGGTCCAGCCTCCACCTGTTGTGTCCATGTCACAGAACACCTAGAGCAGAAAGGGTGTTCTGGCCAGAGACTAACAGGCATGGGCAGCAGGTGCATGAGAACGGCCTTTGCCACCCTTTGCCTTGTCCCCACAGAGCAAGGGGACATGCACACTTCCATTGTCACACTGGCTTACTCTGCTGCTGCAGTATTGGTGGCCAGGCCACAGAGACAATTAGTAAGGCTAACGAAGGCTGGAGTTAGTGAGTTTACAGCTTAGAGGTGGAACTTTGGGTCCTGTCTAAGTTCTTTCATGTTGCCTTCATGTTCTTTCTTGTCCCCCAAAGAAGAGTTGCTTTAGGACATGGCAAGAGATTTGAGTTAGTTATGAGTTAGAAGAAGTATCTTATGTGTGAAAGTTTAGTGTTTGATAAGAATTAAGGGAACGAAACAGATACTTAATATTTTGGGGAGAGAAGGAACCCAAAGATTAAATGTGACGTAGGTCTTTACTTCTCTGTTAGGAGTAACCCTTTAGTAGGCGATGACTAGCCTCTGTGGCTGCTCACTTTTGAGGGCTGGATGGTGGAGGGTCAAGGTGGGCAGGGGGCAGCAATGACTCACCTCCAGCTCTGGGCTGCCCAGGAAGTCATTAGGGGGCAGTCTGTATACCCCGGAGATGCGGTAGTTCTTCTGATAGAGAGATGAGCAGTCATAGATGGCATCTGTAAAAGGCATAGGGCACAAAATGAGGAGCCAGACCTGGACTCAGTGGCGGCGGAGTGTCCCTGCCATGTTCCTGGTGCAGCTGAACTTGGTGACAAATTGAACCCTCATTTCCAGTGCGGGGTTCCCATGGGCCTTACCCCCAGGAAGTATGGTGTTTGGAGAAAGAGGCCTTTGGAGATAAAAAGGAGTCATGGCTGGGCTTCCCCCAAACACTGATGGGATGTTAGGGCCAGGAGCCCTTTCCCAGGAGAGTGTCTGTGGGACCACCAAACAGGTGGCCTCAGGCTACCTTGAGATGGGTGATCCTGCATGTTTCTAGGCCATGGGCTGCAGAAATAAGACAGTGTCTGGGAGCCCACCTAAGAGATATCCCTGTAGTAGCATTCGGATTTCTTGCCACCTCTGTTACAAGAGAAATCACAAATACCTCAGAGTCAGGGTTTATATTTCCTTGATTGGCAGGATTTTGTTGTTTTCCAGAAGTGCTGGCTCCTGGTGACTGGGATCCTAATTAAGGGAGATCGATTTTGCAATCTCACCTTTCCCTGCTCAACCTAACAGGGCCATCCTCAGAGGCAAGTGAAGCAGTTCTGAGGAGCACTTTGAGGCCTGCCCTTAGAAGCTTTGTTGGCACACAGAACTGAAAGCCTGGGGCTGGCTGTCACTGGGGGTGTCACGTGCTGCCCTGGCTGCCATGCACCTGTGCTCCAGGGCAGGTTTTGTCTTGTTGTTGTGGACAGCAGGGCTTCTGAAAGGCGTTCCTGAACTGATTTGGAAAGTTGGGGCCCTCCAAGCCAGGTGCATTCATGCCTTCTGTGTTTGGGGATTTTTTTTTCCTCGCTGGAGACCACTGCTCTGGGGCCTTAGAAAAGACAGCAAGGATGGCAGATGTCTGGGGTGTCTTGGTTCCTCATGGAGCAGGTAGGAGGAGAAGAGACAGGGTACACTTGTCATGACCCTCAGATTTCTTCCCTTCCCATCGCTGATGAATACATCCACTTACTGCTTTCTCCAGGGATGACCTACTCCTTGGAGTATAGCGGTGACCCAGCCCCCAGCCACAGAGAAGGAGAATAAGGATAGCAGGCCTAGCCAAGCCAAGCCAAGCCAAGCCAAGCCAAGCCAAGCCAAGGCCTGCCACCGGGCTGTAAGTGGCCTGCAGGAGGCTGCCTACTGGTTGCGGGGGCAGCAGGTGAATCTGAGCTGGCCTTCCACATGTCTGATTTCATCTCACAGACCAAATCAGGACTCACTTGTCTGGAAAATAGCTCAAGAATACCTTCACAAGGTGAGAAGTCTACACTTCAAAAGTGATTTATACACAGTTCAGAGAACAGAATTTTGAAGCTTAATTTATGTTAGAATTTTAATTTGAACTGAGGAGATAAACAATGACTTCCTCATTAGAAGATAATGTCTTTGTTCTTAACTTGGCTGATAATATGACTAGTCATTTTTATGTCACCAGGAAATTACCTATCTATAAGATATATGCCTTATAATGAATATTTTCCTGGTAACTTCAGAAATTAAAAATGGTCTCTGAAAGATGAATTCACATTGGCTCATCCAAGCCACACTAACAAGTAACTGAAAGCTATTTCTCAAAAAGAAAACATTAAATGGATTTTATTTTTGGCCTGTAAAAACCTATAATTCAGTATCACATTTTCTTATTACCTATATTATTTAGAATGTGAGTGTACAGGGTGAAAAAAATACTGAGGAATTTTTAGGAGCCTGTCCTTAGGTGAACACAAAGGACTCATTAGATGGCTGTGGGAGATGCCTGTGCACCGAGTTCCAAGCAAGAAAGAGAAGAGAGGGTTGCACAGGGAGGACAAGGAATTCCCTAGTGCCCAATCCAGCTGCGTCCCGGGGGCACCAGGAAGCCTCCTTGGCAGAGTTTGTCTCCTGGAGCCACCAGTGTGGTCATGCAAGGTTCATTCCCACTTCTTGGGAGCTGAGGGGGCAGCCTGCCACCTGCTCATAAGGAATTGACATAGCTGCACCTGCCGGGAAGACTTGAACCCTGCATCTAAGACTCAATCTAAGACTCAGTGATTGCCCAGGGCTCCAAGATGGCTAAGTTGCTAAAACATTGTATGCCTAAAAAGAAAACATGAAGGCGTTGGATAAACTTTCAGAATCAAGAGAAGTGGTCCAGTGCCTTAACTAAAGAGAAGACATACCCCCATCACACCCCACCCCCATCTTGCTGACCAACTGGTCCCGAAGCAGCAGCAAACAGGAGGAACTGGGCTGTTGGACGGGGAGGTACTGAGTGGCAGGTGGACCTTACCTGCCGAGGTCTGAGTGAGGGTCTGCGCCGCCTGCAGCTGCATGATGTCCATCTGGTTGTTCATCTCCGAGTACTTGCTTTCGGCGTCTGTGAGCCGAGACTCCATGCGCTTGCCGTTGCTTTCCAGCTCCATCACTTGCATGACCACGCTCACCCAGTCACGCTCCTGCTTCTCGCTCAGCTTGCCCAGCAGACTGCTCAAGTTGGCGACCTGGGCCTTGAGCTCCTTCACCTCCTTGCAGCAGGCAGCTGCCTTGGGCTGTGCAGGCGTCTTGGGCTTCGGGGGCTTCTGCAGCCACACTGAGTGGCTGACAAAGGCCACGATGAAAACGCAGAGCCACGTGAGCGCTGAGAGAGCCTTTGGCAACATCTTTCCTGGGCCTGGATGAGAAGGGCTCTCCCTGCGGGAGAACCTGGGGTCCCAGCTGAGGTCTGCAGGGTTTGCAGCAGACCCAATGCTCTTCCTCTGGCTGGCCTCACCACTTGGTAGTCTTCTTTTCTTCTCTGCTTGGTCTTCACCTTTCTCAAAGCTTGAGTTTCTGAATGTGGAGCTTCGTGCGTAGCCTATGGCTTTCCTTCCTGAGTCTGAATGACCCAAAAGTCCACATCTTAAATATCATTTGCGGCCTGCACCTCCACCCAACCTTGGCCATGCTTGGGGCTTTAGCCCCTCCCAGCTCATCTGGGAGGGTCAGGTGCCTGCTGGGTGAAGTCAGCGCAAACTTAGGCCAGAGGAGGGGAGGAGGAAGACAGGGCGAGTCTTTCTTTCCTTGCCTGCAGCCTCGGGCTGAGACCAGAGGGCTGTGAATTTGTGTGGCTCTAGTTTGGCATATTAGATTCTGCCCCTGCCAGCCACTGGCTCAGCTCTATCAGCAGCAGGGCAGGTTGGAGGAATTTCCAAATTCCTGTCTAAAGGTTACATAACCACAGGCTGAGAGTGAGGTGGACAACACTGTCCTCCCTGAAAGGGACTGCTAAAGTAGCTGGTGCTGTGAGTGTGGAAGCTGCTGCCTGGCCAGCGTGAGGCACCATGCTGACCATGCTTTCAGTGGGGCTGCTCATTCCTCTGTCTCATCATCATTCAGTGCTCCCCGATCCTTTGTCCCACCTGAAAGTAGCTCTCACGTTTGAGAATTTCCAACTTAGAAAAGTTCTAGAAATACATGGATAGACTAAATCTCATAGAAAGCAAAGCAAAAAAAAAAAAAAGTCATTCTAAAGAAAGAATATGCTTTCTCCTTTAAAAGAGTAAGCCAGTGTCAGCTCTCACACTTGACCTTTTGCAGTGAGGTGTCAGGAGGTTACAGCAGAGGTGAAAAGGCAGGAAGCCGCGTGTGTTTCTAGGACTGGTCACTCAACACGTCTGTCCATGTTCAGGCCAGACAGGGAACAGGCCCGTCTTGTCACAGGGTTCAGAACTCAGAAACACGTGAACGTATAGAAACAAGAATTCCTGGCACCTGGAAAATCTGTACAGTATGGTTGCAATTTGAAAATATTTTCCTTCTATCTATATTAGACTTCGTACCCAAAAAAAGATACTATAATTTATTCATGTACTATGTTTCAAGAGCACTGTGGGTTTTTTTTTTTCATGTCTTAAAAAAAATAATAGTAAAAACAAAACAAAATTAAACCTCCGGGCTGGTACAGTGACGTAGCAGACTAACCCTGCACTTGCAGCACCAGCATCCCACATGGGCATTGGTTCCACTTCTCGTCCAGCTCCTTGTTTGTGTGTTGGGAAAGCAGCAGATGGCCCAAGTCCGTGGGCCCCAGAACCCATGAGAGACATGGAAGAAGTTCCTGGCTTTGGATTGGCTCAGCTCTAGATGTAGCAGCCATTTGGGGAGTGAACCCAAAAAAAAAAATTTCCCTTTCTGCATATCTAATTCTTGGATATGAATAAATAAAATCTTAAAAAATAATAGTAACCAGGCATTTCCACAAACATCCTTAGAATAAACTTTTCACTGAAACTGCGTCCAGAGGTCCTTTCATCCTTGAAGCAGCAACACAGTCTTCTGGACACAGGACTGCTGCTTCCATGTTCTGAGCCTCTGGAGCGGCTGTTTATCCTGCAGGAGTTCAGGTGGAGTCCTGCCCACACTAGCCTGATACCTGCCAGCTCCCCTTTCCGTAACCCTCCCGCCTTGCCACTCGGCTGAAGTCACCCAAACCTGAAATGTACAGGGGCCCGGGGGGTCAGAGTGCTATCTCCCTTCCCCGGTCTCCCGGGCTGCTAAGGGCCAACGGTGTTGCTGGCACCCACAGACACTTACCCTGCTACCCAGAGATTCTGTTTAGGGCTGTCACTTTCTGCTTTCCTTTGGTTAGCCCAGCAGGACACCACAGCCTTAACTATGTATACAGAGTTTGCTTCACTAGGGAGAGCTTGGGCCACGATTGGATTGTTAGCATCTCACAGACACTGAACTCCATGGTGACCTTCAAGGTTTTCCTGGTAGTTAAATGACCCTGAGCTTCACTGTGTGCCACAGTGTGTGTGCCATGAAGTCACGAACAGCGCCCCACTCGCTCCTGCCACCTAGGAAGGATGGTGATGCAGTAGAGAAAGCAGGCAGGGGCCCACAATGGGGCTCAGCGGGTTGAGCCACCACTTAGAATGCCTGCGTACTGTATCAGAGTACTGGTTCAAGTCCCAGCTGCTCTTCTGACTCAGCTTCCTGCTGATGCTCCTGGGAAGGCAGCAGCAGATGGCCCAGATGCTTGGACCCCTGTCATCCATGTGGAGTTCCTGGCCCCCGGCTCTGGCCCTTCCCAGCCTGGCTGTTGCAGGTGTTTGGGGAGCCGGCAGGTAGAAGATGCAGAGCTGTGTCTCAGCATAGAGGAACAGGGGAACTTGACGAGCCCCAGGCAACTGCGTGTTTAATCTTCCAGGAAGCTGCTTCTCCTGGCCAAACAAGAAAATGTTGTCAGTTTCCATATTCAGGAAGATAATGAAGCAACCATCCATTCATATTTATAACCCATGTAATAATCTTTTTTTAGAGATGGTTGGAGGGGGATTATAAATTTGGATTGTCTCTGACATTTATTTTCTGGAAACTGATTTCTAACATAAGGCATATCTTGGAGACACAAGCTTTTCTCACTTGAAGATTTCCCTAAATTGCCTCAGCTGCCCACATGTCAACAATTTCTTCAATGTTGAAAAACAATTGTTAATTAAGGGTCATTTCTATGCTAGAAGATTATCCACAACACTATCATATCCCTAAATTGTGAATTTCTTCAAGAAGGGAAGGTCAACCCTTGTTGTGAGCACAGCTAAGTCAGTGGGGGAAAACCATGAAGAGAGAGCGAGACTTAGGGCTTCCTGCCCAGAAAAGCCTGCAGTGCCTGCTCTGCCTTTCAGTGAGCAAAGGGCCAGTAAGGCCAGGAGTCGCTGCGGAAGCCTGGGCAGCCTGGCCTGGCTACCATGTACGCCACATTTCTGGCTGCTGGTGGAAGAGGACCAGTGTGGCACTCCTGGGAAAGATGCTGATGGAAATAAAGCTTAGGTTCATTTCACATTTGCCAGTGTCCAGCCTGCTGGCACCAAAAATTAGAACCATTCAGAGCAGAGTCATCGAGTTGGAGAGGACAAAGAGGGCTTCTGCTACCCAAGTTGAAAATGTCCCTGATGGAGAGTTGACTCCTCCTCTGATGTGTCCCCACCAATGCTTCAGGCGTCACTTGTGCACCTGATGAGAGAAAGCAGTGCCTGACGCCAGGCTGACACCAGGCTCGGCTGTGGCAGAAACCCATTTCAGAAGAGGCTGCCCTGCTGTAGTTTCATTGTGTGCTTCACCTGAAGCCTTGAGTGAGACACAGCCCGCTGTGCTGTACTCAGCCACTGACCTCTGACCTCTCCATCACTCGGCTGAAAGCCCAAACCCTGCACCAAGGGCCTTTCCATGTCCTCCCTGAGCTTTCTAATTGTTCACTTCTGCCAAGGCCCACGTCCTGCACCTGCTACCGTTCTGGCCCAGCCTCCAATGCCTCATGGTCCACTTTGAAAAACAGACCGCTGAACTTCAGGACAGTGTGATAAGAGCCGGGAGGGCACAGAGGAAGGGTGGTCACCCCAGAGGATGCCCTGCGTGTCCAGAGGAAAGGGTAGCCAACAGTGGGGAAGGCTTCGTGTGTGTGTGTGTGTGTGTGTGTGTGTGTGTGTGTGTGTGTGTGTGTGTGTGTGTGTGTGTGTGTGTGTGTGTGTGTGTGTGTGTGTGTGACAGACCTTGCTAGGTAGAGGGGAAATAGCAGAGCCTGGCCCAAGGATCAGAAGAGAGAGGGAGTAGGCACAGAGTAAAGGGAGGCGTGTGACTGTCGCTCTGATTGCTTTACTTCCCTGAGACCTACTGGGAGATAACCTTTTGAAGTTGCTTAACGATTGGAAATGAACTGGAAGTGGGGAATTTGAAGCATTAGAAGTTCTTAAATTGTAATGCATTCACGTTAAATGGACAGACTATCGTCTGGCTTTAGGATTAAGGAGGCAGTATGTAACGTGCCCCTTGAGTTCTTGGGTCTAGAATCGGAAAATCACCTCATCCCTTCCCTGGATGTGACAGTGGATAAGTTACTTTGCTAACTTTACCAGTCTGTGAAATGGAGATAAAATCAGAGCTTCCTCACTACACAGAGTTTGGCAACATTAAGTACAGTGAAGGGTTGAAAATAGCTAACACTTTTGTGTGTGTTTTTATTTTTAGTTTATTTTCAGGAATGCAGTATACTAACTATCCTCACTGCCATACCGTAGCTTCCTTCAGCTTCCTTCTCCCCTCGGGCTGACTGTGAGTCCTTTTCATCAGCGTCTCCCCAGCTCCAGTAACCTCTACTCTCCATTTTATGAATGAGACTATGCAGTATGTCTTTGCCTGATATCTTTTCATTTACCTCTCATGTTCTCCAGGTTTAGTTTTATCCATGTTATAAATGCAAGATTTTTTTTTTTTAGGATTTAGTTATTTATTTGAAAGTTACAGAGAGAGAGAGAGAGATCTTCCATCCATTGTTTCACACCCCATATGGCAGTACTTGCTGGGGCTGGACAAGACCAAGGCCAATAGGCTAGAACTTCATCTGGGTCTCGCATATGGATGGCAGGAGCCCAAGCACTTTGGCCGTTTGCCACTGCTTTCCCAGGAGCGTTAGCAGGGAGATAGATTGGAAATGCAACATCTAGGACTCAAACCACTTCCATATAGGATATTGTTACAGGCAGTAGCTTAACCCACTATGCCATAGTGCCGGCCCTGACAGTTTTTTTTTATAAAGATTTATTTTATTTTTATTGGAAATAAATTTTTATTGGAAGTTCAGATATGCAGAGAGGAAGAGAGACAGAGAGGAAGATCCTCC